CACTTAGGGTTTATCGGCGAGTTGCAGAGAAAATTCCGGTAAACGAGTCAACAATAAATCTCAGGAGAAAAGAAAAAGAAGAAGAACGGAGAGAATGATTTGATTTCTTATTTGTTGCAATGAGCAAATTGAGGGAAAAAATAAGAACAAATACGACGAGAGGGTATGATCACCTACGGAAGAGCGTATGATCAAGCTATTGGGCCTTTTCTTATGATCCGTTCAAACTTGTTTGGGCTATCATCAGAATTGGCCTGACTTGTGACTCCTCCTACTTATTAAAACTGAAACAATGATATAACAATTTTTTTATAAAAAAACAGAACTTCAGACAAAAAAAAACAGAACTTCAGACTTTAGATAAACTTTTTGAGAAGACATGATAATATAATATGCCTTGTTTGATGATGTAGAACCTGTACTTGGAGACCCATAATTAATCAAAGGGCTTAAAGTTTCAAGGAGATGAAAAAGGTGAGAAAAGGTATTATGAGAACTAGGTGAATATCCGCACGTTACGTGCGGATTTATTTTTTTAAATTTTTTGATTTTTTTTGTTATATTTTTATAAAAGTTAATATAATCATCACTTATTATTTACTTACTTGTTAATATTTTATTCTAAAATTTTTTAAAAATATTAATTTAAAATATATATTGAATATTATTTAATAATCTAAAATTATATTAAAATTAATACATATCATTCAATATTTTTAATTAGTTATATCATAAATTTTTGTTTGACATTTACACAAATATTAATTAATAGTTAATTAATAAAAAAATTAAAATCTTAATCATCATTTTATTTACTACTTGTTAGTATTTTATTATAAATAATCTTAAAAATTAATTTTAACATTTTGAATATTATTAAATAATCAACAGTTATATAAAAATTAAATATATATCTATCAATATTTTTAATTAGTTATAACATAAATTTTTGTTTAACATTAATATAAATGTTAGTTAATACAATTTTTTCATATTCTTTAAGTGCTTATATAAATGTTAGTTAATACAAACTTTTCATATTTTTTAAATGGTTTAAATTTAATATTAAAATTTAATATTTAAAATTTAGTTGACAGGTGTCAACTTCTCCAATGCTGATGTGTCAAGCATATGCAGAAAATTGATTGTCTTTTATATATAAGATTAAGTGGGAAACACTTATAAAAAAAATGTATAATAACAATTTTACAAGCTTTCAAAAATTAAAACGTTAATGCAGAGTTGCACGCTCTATCATTATAGTTCATCGTTTAAATTTTTGATGAAAATCATTTTTCCTAAATTCCAACATTCTTAAGAAAAAAATAATATTTATATTTTTTGGCATGAGTCCAACGAACTCAAAGCCCAAATCTCAAAGCTTTCCTCCTCAAATTCGCTTCAGCTTTTTGTGTATTCTAGAGAGAGAGAGAAAGCGAGATAGTGATTGTCTGATTGATACTAAGAGTGTTTCTCACTCATTCTCTCTGTCGCTTGAAGTTGTCGAAAGACAAAGGAGAGAAAGAGAGTTTAATGCGAGTCTTTACTCTACGAATCTTGTGCCCTAATTTGTCGCTGGCGTAACAGTCATATTCAACAGCCGCCACTCCATTCGAGCACTTCACTGGTGGTTATGGCATTTATGTGATCGAGAGAAATCACGTAGTCCGAGTTTCAGTTCCTGTGCAAGAACTGTCGCATATGGAACAATTCTAGCCATTTGTTGAAGTTTTCTTAATGTGATCCGAATTTTGCGTGAAATGTGATCTGGATTTTTCTTCAATTTTTGCTTCATCTCAGAAATTTTTAGGGTTCTTGGACTTTGAAGGAGAGTGAAGGGAGGGATGTTGACGTGTATAGCGTGTTCGAAGCAGCTAAACACCAACAATGGCGGATCTACTCACGACAGGCAACAAGAGGATGAAGTAATTGGGACTACACAGGCAATTAAATCGCTGACGTCACAGGTAGATTAACCATTTTTTAAGCTCACTTTCACGATTTGTTTGGTTCAAAAGAGAAAATGGCAACAAAAAAAAAACAGGAAGAAAAAAATTAAGGAAAGAATATCCCTATGATTTTTCCTAATAATCCCTATGATCATATCCATTAATATAAGCAATACAATTCTTCCAATCTATCTTTATCACATTATCATGTGACTCTTGTATATGTGACTACTGTTCATTCAGCTAAAAGACATGGCAATAAAGGCTTGAGGTGCATACAAAAACTGCAAACCGTGTTCTAGGACATCAAACCGGAACTATGCTGTTTTAGATGCTGCTTCGGAACTATGCTGTCTAAGGAATGGGTTGCCCAAGTGGAGCTTGGTGTTCTCATCACATTTCTGTCACTTCCTCAAGGAGGGAATGATCTAAAGAGGATTCGGTTCAGGTAATTGTTTCTTTGCCATATTGAACCGCATATAGTGTTATGTGTTTGTCAATTGATCTGACGCTGAAGACAATTTTCAACAGAGGCTACTTTTTGCATTCTTATTTTGACTGAATATGTTTTACTTCTTGATCTGATTTTGGACACCCATGAGTTGTAATAAACCGTCCTACCCATTGATTTTCTTTTTGTTTTCTCGAGTTAACTACTCTATGATTTCTCTGTCCCAACAGTTTTTGGGTTTTTATGTGACCAGTTGTCTCCTCGCCATTCTATTTACCTCTCAATCCCGATCAAAGTAATTATGCTCGGTAGAATTAGCTACACCTAAAACTATAAATGAGCCTTGTATACGTTTCAGTTTGGCTTGCCATTAGCTCAAAGTTCAGATGACCCTGAGCTTAGGCAACTGTTATAACTAGAAGCACTAGGCTCCATAATAATGAGACTAACTTCTGTTGTGGTCCAAGATTTGTATCTCTAGCTGTTACAGGTCAAAGTGTCAAACTATTTGCCATTGCGGTAAGCTTTTTGCTGATGTGAAGCTAGATGATGATGTTTTAAAGTCTACTACTTTTCTTGCAGTCGTGAAATGTTTAATAAATGGCAAGCTCAAAGATGGTGGGCAGAGAATTTCGAGAAGGTCATGAAATTATACAACGTGCAGCAGTTCAATCAGGAGAGTGTCCCTCTCCAAAACCTTGAATATCCAAAGATAGGATAATGCTATTTCACTACTGAACGAGGAAATCTATGAATTGATGATCACAACCAAAACTCTAGGTTTCATCTTTCTCTTGGGGTGTACAATGTTACAGTTGTAATCTTGAGTAATCAATCATGTATTTAAGTCCTAAATAGAGATTTTTAGAACAGCCGTGTGCCAGGGGTCACAAATACAATCTGCAAAGGACAGTCTTGACAAAAAGCGAGCTCACAACAATATTTTAGGCATGATGGGAACTGGGTACTTGTCGTCGGATTCACCTGATCACCAATCAACCCAAACACCAAAATGTAATGACTCTGTTGCTCCTGCTTCAACACCAAAGCTCTCTAGCATCAACGGAACCAAGACAGAAACATCATCTGTTGATGGTTCTGCTAGAAGTAGCTCAGCATATTGATCAGAGGAAGTCTCAGTGAGTAACGCAAGGGACATGGAAACTGAATGGGTAGAACAAGATGAACCTGGGATCTACATTACAATCAGAGCTTTACCAGATGGTAATTGCCAGCTTAGACACGTTCGGTTCAGGTACATAACACACACAAAAAGAAAAACCATTGTGCTATTACATTCATCTCTCTCTTTCTGAAAATTATTTTTTGACAATGTTGTGTAGCCGAAACAAGTTTGAGGAAACACATGCGAAGTTGTGGTGTGAACAGAATTGAGGTAGCATACAATAGCAATACTTGTGAGTTGATAGATTTACTAAGTGGAGCTGCTACAGGACGATGAACAACAACAAATGACTTTCTTTTCTACTTTCTTATAGCTTTTAACTTGGACAAAAGCTAATAAACAAAGACAATTTCTTTTGCTTCTTGTTAGATATATAAAGCTAATGCAATTTTATATGTAGTAACAGTAACAACCAAAAATTTATGTCTTCTCACTGATTTTCTTTGGGTTATACATCAAGTAGGTAAACAAACACATGAAAAAAGTGAAATATGCTAGTAGTAGTATAAAAGATGAATAAAATGTTTTAAATTTCAAATTAAAGATAAATACTAAAATGATGTCCGCTCCCCTAATAATTGGATTCGTTATTGACTGTTGATCTTCTTCACATAATAACGGGTAGCTCAACGTTTAATCTTTCGTCCGGGAAAGAGGGCAAAACGGTCATTTCCTGTTTTTTTTTGTGTGTGTGTGTGTGTGTGTTTATCTAAGCGGCAGCTTCTGAACGAAATTTTCCAAAACCCTCTCTTTAAGCCGTACTTCTTTCTTCTTCTCGTCTCTCTCAACTCGAAACCCTAATTGACGTATTCGATTTTAGGGTTTAAGAGCGAAATCTTTTGTCTCTTAAAAACGTTTCACTACCTTAATCCCTTCTGTCAAAGTCTTCTATCGATTCTCGTTTTCTGTGTTTTCCTTTCCTTGTTTTGCTTATTCGATCCGGCGATCGTGTTTGGTCGGAGATGGTGACCGGGTCTGGAACTGGCGGTAGTTTTGCGTCAGGAATTGATGAAAACACGAGGAAGACGATCCGTTCAATAAAGGAAATCGTGGGTAATCACTCTGACGCCGATATCTTTGCTGCGTTGAAAGAAACTAACATGGACGCTGATGAGGCTGTGCAGAGGCTGATTTATCAAGGTTTCGATCTCCTTCTTCTCAATCCCTTCATACTTTGACGAAATCATTGAATCGTGCTTTAGAGAAACGAGACTTGTAGATTATTGATTGGACTGGATTTAGTTTTATCCAGTGATGGGTTATTTTTTCCATCTTTGGCTCTCATGGTTCAGTTTTTTCATGTCTAAACCCTTTTTCTGCTACACAGATCCATTCCACGAGGTGAAAAGAAAAAGGGAAAAGAAGAAAGAGGTAACTTTCTCAAATCTCTCTTTTTGATATGGTAGTATACTAGTATTTGTGTCACTAGGGTGTTATCTGTTGCGTAGCTGCATTAAGGGGCTGTTCATGTTTTAGCTAAGAGTGTGATGGAATTTGATATTTTGTGCTGCTCCCAATTGGTGGAAATCTTTGGCTTCTTTTCTATCTATTCACTGAGTTTGCTGAATCCCTGAATTAGGCTTTGAAAAATCTCAACGCATTTTTTATGCTTTCGGGTTCAATTTAGAGGTCTGATTCATTACGGTTAAGTCTCAGGAAACGACATCTGTGGAGCTTGCTGAGAGAAGAAAACCTTCCGAAAACATTTCTAGAGAAGGGAATTTTCAAACGCAGCCTGAACATAGTGCTCGGAGAGGAGACTACAATCAGAATTCTTTTCCCAGGAATGCAGCTCCTCGAAATGCTGTTCCTAAGAATCCCGCTGCTGGTAACTAATTGTGATGATCATTTGCTTCTGCTCCCTGTGCTTAAGTTGTTTAACTAGTTTTTAGTTGATCTTAATCTGTTCTTTCAAACACACCTTTTCCCAGAGCGATATGAAGTACATTCGGTTTGAACCTATAATCGAAAATCAATTCCCCTTCAAGAAAAAATAGACATAACTTACTGGCTATAGGCACCTGGAAGTGCACCTAGAAAATCAGCTCCCCTTATGTAGTGAGATGCATGCGTTATCCACTAATATGATTTTTGTATCTATGTGATGGGTTATTGAAGTTTCCACATTACTTACTGACTACATACACTTAGAAATGTTGTCTGCTGTCTTAATTGATTGTTAGTTTCATGCAACTGCAGGACCCAGCAGAGAGTTTCGTGTTGTTAGAGACAACAGGTCTAATCTGAATGCAGATAAAGAATTGAAGCATACTTCCGCCCAGTCATCTGGATCAAATATTAGCGAAGAGGTTGCCATTCGAAACAAAAAGGGGTACGTTTCTTTTCATGCACTTTATCCTGTTGGTCATATTCTGGATGATTCTTAGACAACTTGCCCTAATTACTTGGCCCGTCTGAATTGGGTTCTGTCAGTGATACACAGTTATAGTAGTAGAAAGAGTTCACGCTAGTGGAATCTTTTTGCGGAGACTTAGGAGAGTAGTCCACTTGGAGACAAGGCATAATCAAATTTTTGTGGCAGTGAGACTGTTAAAACTTGAAATTGTTATTATGTTTACTTGTTAGTTATTCCCGACAAGTGTAGTTGCTTCTCAGGAGATTAAAAATTTCTGCAGAATCTTGTTATCCTACATCTTAAAAAAAAAAAAAAATCTTCTGAACTCATTATGAATGTTTTTATGGTTTGGCAGCTCATCAGGTGGTTCGGTAGATCAGCCATATGGGGATCGGGATGTAGCTCATAGGAGGTCCAGGCAGACTGGAAATGTTCCTCTTCGTCGTACAAGAAAGGAACTCAATGAGGGAAGGCAGACAGTTCATGATGTTACTGTGCCATCAAGCAATTCTGTGCTTGGTGTATATTCGTCCTCTGCAGATCCTGTTCATGTACCATCTCCTGATTCTAGATCATCAGCTGTTGGAGCTATCAGACGGGAAGTTAAGGGTGTAGGTTTTGGTGGAAAACCTTCTGAAAATGTTTCGGAAGATTTGTCTGCAGCTGGATCTTTGGTGGAGCCTGCAATTAGAAAAGATGTTCCAAAAGCATACAGACCATTTTCACCACCTATTTCAAAGATTGATCAAGGCAGTCAAGCTAATGCACGAGAGTCTGTTATGCCTAATCATAGGTCTCTAACAAACAGCCAGCATGGGAATAGAGGCTACCAATATGTTAGAACACAGCAGCAAGCTGGTGGTCATCCAAAAGGTAATTTTGCTGTCTATTTTAGCGAGTGTAATCGGTTTGTGGTGCTTTTTTTGGCTTCATTCATGCTACCCAAGTTGCCCTAAGGAAAGTTTCCTCTTCATTTAACATTACGCTTTTGTGTAACTTCTTCTTGAGGTCAACAATCACCAGGCATCTTTTGATTAATCGGATGTTCGGGTGCAAGGCTAGTTTTTGTCATGATACTGAGACATTTTTAACCTTTATTTCACGCAGGAGTTTCCCAGAATAAACAGTGGAAGCCTAAATCTAATCAGAAATCTAGTGGAAATAACCCTGGGCTTATTGGAACTCCTAAAAAGTCTCGTGCTCCTCCCACTGATAATTCCATAAACATGGAATCAGAAATTGTGAAGGTGAAGGATAAGCTTTCGCATGTTAGTATCAGCGATAGTCAGAATCTGATCATTGCAGATCATATTCGTGTCCCAGAAACTGTTCGCTGTCAGCTGACTTTTGGTAGTTTTGATCCTTCGATGAATTCAGCATGCTCTTCACAAGACCTTAAGCACAGTGATATTAATGTCAGTTTGCCCACTCCGCCTCCCGAGGAGTCAAATAATGGTGCTTCTGGCACTAAGACCGTGGAAACTTTTGATAATGAAGTAAGAAATTCTGGAGCTGGCTCACCGCCTCCTGTATTGATGGCATCAGAACAACAATTTTCTGAACAAAAGGAGGCTCCTAGATCTCCGAATTTGGATGAGTATGCGCAATTCATTAGTGGAAATGTTCCTCCTTATACTATAGAACCGAAGCAGCAGCAAGATCCTCTTGAACTGCACAATTCTTCAGTGAGTTTACTTTGTCGTAATTTTTTTCAGAATAGTGTATATTTTTTTTTTTTTACCACAACACTTATAATGATAGGGGTAGGATATACGGATATATTACTTCTCTTGTGCGTTGGTGTGTTGGTCTCATGACATGCTCTTCATTCTCAGCAGGATTATGATTCCCAAGGTGTTTATGACTTGCCGTATCTCAGGCAAGTAATGGATGAAAACATGCGGGGACAAGGACTACCTTCTCCACAGGAGGTGATTTCTCTTTTTGTTACTGGTTCCACTCTTCCACTTAATTGCAATACGCATGCTCCCTAAATTCATCAGAGATTTTTTGTTGATGAGAGAAGAAAGGCACTGTGCATGTTATTTTGTTTGTCTCTCCATGTCAATAACCTGGTGAACTAATTGTTTTATCCTTTTGGTCATGCAGCAATCATTAAATCCGCACATGTTCAACAACGCCCCTGCCTCTACAATTCCTATGATGCAGCAGCAACAGGCGCCAATGGCACAGATGTATCCGCAGGTTCATGTTTCACACTTTCCCAACGGTATGCCGTATCGTCAGTTCCTCTCCCCCGTCTATGTCCCTCAAATGCCCATGCAAGGGTACTCTGGTAATCCAGCAGCATATGCTCACCCTTCAAATGGCAATAGCTATGTGCTGATGCCTGGAGGCAGTTCTCATCCCAGTGCAAATGGCCTCAAGTATGGGATCCAGCAGTTTAAGCCAGTCCCTGGAGGTGGACCAACAGGTTTTGGGACTTTCAACAACCCTACTGGGTATCAAATTAGTTCACTCAATGTAGTTGGTAATGCTCCGGGATTTGAAGACTCATCTCGCATGAAGTACAAAGACGGAAATGTATATGTCCCTAATCCTCAGGTAATGGTTTCGGTTATTGGACATTTGGGTTTTTCCCGTTAACTCATATCAATCTAAGTGCTTATTTGGTTTCATTCTTTGGCACCAGGCTGAGACTTCCGAAATATGGATGCAAAACTCGAGAGATCTCTCAGGAAGTCTTCAATCTCCCCCATATTACAACATGGCTGGACAAACGCCTCATGCTGCTTATATGTCATCCTTCAATTCTCCTCCAGTTCAATCGTCTCATATGCAGTTCCAAGGTGTCTTCCACTCGCCACAGCCTGGTCCAATGGCGAATCCACACCATATGGGGTCTGGACTGGGTGGTAACGTTGGGCTCGGGGTTGCTCCATCTCCTTCTCCAGTTCAAGTCGGTGCCTATCAGCAACCACAGCTTGGTCATCTTAACTGGCCAGCAAGCTTCTGAACAAAATCTAACATGTTTATTTGATGAATGAATCATAACAACAACTCAAAGAAATATTATCTTGTTAAACTATGCTTATTTATTTTATTCAATGCATAAATGTCTCAGTTTTCGCAGTTCTCTATGAATCGTTGTTTGCTTCCATATATCCTCGCCTCTTCTACAGGCTGCTTCGTTATGAAACGTCAATTGTTTTGACTAGTAACGTGGCCCGCGCCTACTCCTTATACCATCAATCCTAGTTTTGGCTCAAGTCAAAGTCATTGTGCAAAGTAGGACGAGAATCTTATAATGCCATGTGCTTGGTCGTTTTAGTGTTGTGCTTCTTTTGAAATACCCTCTTCTTTTTCTCTTTTCTCCATTAGAGAGTTTTGGGGATTTGAAATGAGAGAGACTGTTGTTCTTTCAGTGATGTTTCAAGGAAAATATTGTGTTGTCATTGTTCTTCTTTGAGTTCTGTGTCATTCTTTTGTATGCTTTGCTTTTCTTGGGATCCCCAAACATTTCTTTCATATACTCTCCCGGATTTTCATAAAGAAACATTGGTTCCTGAGCTTGACCCAGCTTTCTTCTACACTAAGACTATGGACCACTTTAAACTAAACAGGGTTTGAAAATGAGTTCATAGGTCTAATTGTCTTCTTGATTACTCTGATTTCTACTTATCTTTTCGCATAACATTTCCCATTAAGTCATTATGACAACATGCCAAGAAGAAACTAATTTGATGGTGTTGTTGACATTTATGAAAAATTAGTAGTTAGTATAAGAAAGCGGTCAAGAATCTTAATCAAGTGCCTATATGTTTCCTCTCTAAATTACCTTTTTGAGGAATGATTGTCCTCTATAGACTTCTAACTACTTGCCTTGAGTGATTTGAAGTAACTAATACTCTTCTTGTTTCATTTTTCACCAAGGTTCATCAATGAGTTTCTTGTCTTTAATGATATGTAATAGGGACCATAGGAGTCAAAGCTAACACTAATTACACTGATGAGTTATTACGATGCCTTGGAAGCAATCATTGACTTGAGATAATACTATAGAATCTTCAGATTTGTTGAGTTTATGAATTATATTTTACTCAAAAATGTTTGAGAGGCCTATAGACTAGGGCTCATCAATTAGCTAGGGGGTTTAGAATTAGATTAGGTGACACCGTCTTTAAATAATGAAGTCTTTATAGGGGAAAATGATGCTTAATTAGGCTCTTCTTGACCCAATCTTCCTTAGGAAATTAAGCTTGGTGCATGTAATGGAAAAATTAAGTCTAATTCACTTATGTTTATTAGAAAAGCTCTCTAAGTAGAAGGTATCGTGATTGGTTTTGGGATTAGTTAAAGATCCTAATTAACCTCTAAAATTAAACTTGTTGAAATATTTTCTAATGAATATTTATAAATTCTGTATCTCGAGTTGATTAGAATGATATATCCTTTTACTGCATGCACAAACTCATGATTTTATGAGATGAGAAGCTGTCAATTTCTTATAACTGCAGTCCACACATGCGTGCAATTCTGCGACTCAGAATTATTTCTTTTTTTTAGTACATTAAGTACGCATAATATTATAAATTAACATGGCATAGAGTTATAGAGGAAAATCGATACAAGTTTGTAATTTTTTCAAAATAATATAGATATCAGTATGCTTGATATGTTGTTTCTTTAGTTCTGTGAATGGAAGAGATTTACTGAACTAGGAAAAAAATGTTACCAAGTCATATCTAAAAATGAAGAAGTTTATCCTCGTGTATGGTTTAAAAGCATGATTATGTACTTGTACCCGTTAAGCACTTATCTTATTATGATAAAATTTGTAATATTGTTTCGTTTGATCTAAGACAGGAATACGAGACTGAACATCAGTTTTTTTTTTTTTTTTTTTTGACGGCAACATCTGTTTATTTGTATAAAAGGGGAAAAGAATAGCAAAATTGTACGAGGATGGGTCCGGTTAAAAAGGTGGTGTTATGAGTGGGAAGTTTCGTGGATTCGAAGGGACGATCATTTTATATTTGTTATATAATTTTTTTATTTGGCTGGCTTAATTTGTCAGAGAATTAATTTTGTTCTTTTGTTAATTAGAAAATCTTAACATATCAATTTTTCTTTATGAACGTCTCTTATCTACTTCGGATGTGTGTCTAATCTCTATGCTTTCCAATTTACACGACAATGTAGGATTTAATGGCCCGAAAACATTTCGTATTAGTGCTCCTTTATTTACTGGTTAGTGCATTTTTCTTATAACACCCATCTAAGTTTTAGAATCTTTATAGATTATCTACATATGTGAAAAACTAAGAATATAGAAAGCTAATTAAAACACACAAAGATTACAGAGAGCGCCATAACCTAGTTATTTGTTAATTTGTCCTTAATTCTCATTTTGTACATGTCATCCCCTATATATAATAGACAAACGATTTCAATCTTAAGAGTTAGCCCACGAGAGTAATCATTTAGCAAATGAGCACCATTCCCTTTTTGAACATGCTCTCATCAACCCTTAATTAATATTATTTCAATTTTCTACCTACTTTTAATCTAAAAAGATATATAAACGGGAAATAAAGAAGTAAATAAAATTTGTTTAAATCAATGTATATTATAAACGAACAGTACGAATACGCGTAACGCATGCAAGGTGTATCATTCGTATTATTATAGTTTTAATAATTTTTTTTAAAAACTATAATAACACTGGGGTCGGGCACACTAAAATTTACAAAAAAAAAAGGATATTGCGGCTATGAATTAAAAAATAAATATATTATTTCATTAATATAAAAAAATATTAAATAAAATAAAAAATATTCTTCTGTTAGCTTAACTATATTTAAAGACCTTTAGGTAGAATCACATGCGAAAGACTGACTAAATTGAATACTTCTCTATTCTCCAGTCACTTCTCTATTAAACTCTTCCATGTTTCTTTTTAAACCGAAAACATTATCGTTAATCGTTTCCCTATTAGAGGGTTTAAATAGATACTATTAATTAATATATGTGTATGTATACGTTTGATTGACGTAGACTTCCTCAGTTGTCCCAAAAATAAGCCATAATTACTTTAACGGATAGTCATTAAGCTTCTCCATATATCAAGTACGAGTGAATGTGGTAAATTCAATTATTATCAGTTAAGATACATAGCAGAATAACAATTGATTTAATTAACATATGAAAAAGGAACGATAAAGGTGAAAGAATAGGGGAACATAGAATGATTTCAAAGTTAGATCATGTGGTGAAAATTAATAATTACTTTTGGGGAATAAAAAGACAAGATAGAGATTTCAATAGTGACTAACAATTAAAGTGGGTAACTCATAATGTGTTGTATTCGTAAATTTATATATAGTCAACTTTAGATTTTCGATTGTTCATAATTTTCAAAAATACTCACATTATCGAATATTATGGTGTTAAGTTGTATATGCATTATACATTTAAAACTATACTAATTCTTCCATTGCAGTAAATTAAAGCAGGATTTTGCTATTTTGATAGATATATCGAAATAATGTTTACATGCCAAAATACTGATGACATTGTTGTTTGTCACTATGTCGTACTAATTAATTAACACTAGTAAAGAAATTACATGTCTTTTTGTTCTCCAAGAGATTTCTATGAAATTAAGAACCCTTAAGTATTAGGTTGGCAGTAAAAATTCTCTAAACATATAAGTTGAAACTTTGTGATGTAATTTTCTGTTTTGCTATCCATTTTTCATAGGGTTTCCATCATGAATATATATGGCAAATGATACTGAATTAAATCAAATTAAACATTATCACTAAAATATTAATTAAACACTTCAAACAACCGTTTCCATTAATATTTAATCTTTATTAAAATAGGTACCAATAGTAAACCCTAACTAAATAGTCACGAATTTCACATAAATACTAGTTAATATTTGAACTCCAACGATGCTGAACTACGTATTTCGCCACTGCACAAATAGAAATCCAAGATAATGGTGTAACTTAAGACTAATTAACTTTTCCTTCTCAATTTTCTTGGGAACAATTAAAGATATTTAAAATATACACTAAACCAACCAACACTAGATATCGAGGGTGATGAACACTATTTCAACTCAATCTAAAAAATAAATAATTAAGCTTTTCTTATCAAATGAAACAGTTAGCCTATTCGTCATAAAAATAACTTCAAAGTTTTAAATATGTGATATGAATCAATTTATAGTGGCCCAATATCTGTAAGATTTACTATAGAAGTAAGAGACCATGATACAAAATTTTCCTATACATTTTTAACTAGAGTTACTGTAGGCGTCTTAATTAATATATAGAATGAATATGTTGCTTTTCATGGACAATAGAGATTAGTCTAAGCTGTACAAAAAACTTGTTAGCTATATAGTCAATGTAATTCAGTCCTGAACAGAAGAAACTGAATATTACATGCGAAACATTGAATAAATTTTTGTTTTTTTAAGTAAAATTGCAATAAAACAGTGTACAAGGTAGTGGCTTACAACATAATTTCTGTTCATGAGAAGTGTCTCAGTGTTGGTGTTAGGTCAAATTATGCGATTGAGCCTCTTAGCCGCATTACTTGACTATTTACTCTCTAAAGTCTTTCTTTTAACCATCTGCTATTCACATGACACCATTTACATTTGTTCTTTCTTTTTTGTCCACTTATATAAAATTCTAAAGCAAATCCTATACTATACATATTCCTAGGGTTTCTAACTATATTTTTCATTACTTTTTTTGTCTCTTTGCCCTAGCTTTTTTCTTCAAAGTTTGACAAATTGTGCTTCCGTTTTGAATGTATGCGTTTCGATTTTTACATGATCATATATATCTAAGACAGCCATGCAATATGCGTGTACGAATTCACAGTTTTCAGTTCTAAATAATTCCTGTACTTACACATAAATTGTTAATCTTTTAAATATTTGAGTTTATACCCTTTTTCAAAAAAAAGTACGTCGCTTATTTTTGTGAAATATAAAGGGAACTAAATTGTTAAAATATTGTCGTGAATTACATATAGCAGTTCAAGCCTTAAAAATAAGATTACAGCAGAAAGCTGAATATATTACTTCAGAAATTTAAACATCTCAAAGTATATAATGTGATGACAACTTTGATGTCTTTAAGATTTACAAAGATAGAAAACCCTTTTTATATATTTTTGTAGCTACTCCCCAAATGATGTGTGCAATTGCTAATTACAGTTAGAACAGTTATTGTATATTATTAGCTAAATAATAGTACTCACGAATATAAATATAAGAAAGGAAAAGCTGTAATGGACCCAAGAATCGAAATTGGATTTGCTGTTATATATGAATCAACGATTTATAATTATTTTGTGTTATAATACTAAACGTACAACTTTTGTTTCTAAAAGAAGAGAAAAACTTGTGATGAGGTAGATACATCTCGTTTTCAAGCCGTTAAAAACCAGGGTGCAACCAAACTTTAACTAAAGGAAGTTGTGACCGGTGCATGACCATGACCAGGTTTATGAATGTGTGTGTGAGTGATTGAGATCAAACAAAAATAAGTAATGAAGGATTTGACTGATGTATTATAAAAATAGGATACTCATATAGTGAAAATACGAAATAACGGTTAGGAAAATTAGTTTTCCATTTACGATATAACCAGCCGTGCCCATATTAATTGAGGCTCTAATTTTGTTTTAATATTTTAATTTTTGTTTTTAATTTTTATATAAAAAATTATAGAAACTATGTTGGAATATGAAAAATATCTGTTTGAAGCTTTAAAACAAAATATTTTAAATTATTATATATTATATTTTTTGGTAAAAATAAAAAAAGTTTTTTAAAATGTTAAAAATTGGCCGAATCTACTACATGGGCACGACCCTAGATATAACTAACAATGCTTTGATATATTTTCCATTCAATTCTTTTTGTTTGTTAATTAATGACATTCATCAATCACGAAAAATTCTCGTGTTTTCACTCTCTTCTTCTTATAATTTATATAAAAACAAAAAAAAACAAAAAAAAACAGGTTGAGCATAAAGAAAAAAAATATACAGTAGATCGATAAATAATTGGTAAAAAAATATAACAGTAACAAATAAAGTATTTATACAAGAGTTAAATATTGTTGCCAACAAGTAGTTTCCAGCCTGGCACCCAATTCCACGTAGGATAATAGTGAATAATTTATGTGGGAAAAATAATAAAACACGTGGCAATGAATACCATTTCGCTGATAAGACGCTTCACTTTCTTCATCTTCCTCATACACACTACTCTCAACTCTCAAGCAAAGCAGAAGAAACAAAGCGTGCCTCTCTTCTCTCTCTCTCTCTTCATCATTCTCATCCTCCATTAACTCTGTTTTCAAAGCTTTTTCTTCACCAGAAACCCCAACACTATCATTCCCTTGTTTCTCTATAAGAAGAAATCAGCTCCCTCTCATGGATCCTTGGGATAAACATTCAATAGACCTTCACCGTCATCGTCATCGTCATCCTTCCTTCTCCTCCTCTCTCCTCGACCAAATCTACCGCTCCATAGACGATTCCTCAACAAACTCCGACGTCTCCATGAGGAAGAAGCAGCAGCACCACCACCACCATCACCGTCTCGACGAGGATCGCGTTTGTCTCGACAAAATTCTCGTTAACCGCCGCGAAATCGCCGACGATTTCGTTAGATCTAGAAATCCCAAGACCGTAGAACCTGTTTTCTTCAAGCATTCAAGCTCCAGCTCCTCTGATTCAAGCGGATTCTCGTCTTCCGGGTCCGATTCCTTCTACAAACGATCTAGATCGTCGCGCTCTCCGCCGGCGATTGGTCACCCGAAGCCAATTCGAACCACCGTCGAGAGATTCGAACGGTCGCCGCAGATTCACCGACCTAATAATAAACAGGAACATGGAAGCTTTCTCAGAACGAAATCCAAAGCTTTGAAGATTTACAGCGATTTGAAGAAAGTGAAGCAGCCGATTTCTCCCGGCGGTCGTCTCGCCACTTTCCTAAACTCGCTTTTCACCGGCGCCGGAAACACAAAGAAACCGAATAAAATTAACACCACCGTCCCCGTCGCCGCCGCCGCGTCCTCCACCACGTGCTCCTCCGCGTCCTCCTTCTCTAGATCTTGCTTGAGCAAAACTCCGTCGTCTAGTGAAAAATCGAAAAGATCCGTACGTTTCTGTCCCGTCAATGTCATCCTCGACGAAGACTCCAAGCGTAATGGTCACAACAACAAATTGTACGGAAGCAACGAACGTGAATCCACTCGACATCATCAGAACTTCGATACTCTTGAGATCCGAGTCGTGGAGGAGAATCGTCGCGTAATTGAAGCAGCCAAGGAACTTCTCAGAACTTACCATAAGAATAAAGACGTCGTCAACATCTCCGGCGAAGAAGAAGAAGAAGACGAAGACGACGAAGACGATGCTGCGAGTTGCGCGAGCTCCGATCTGTTCGAATTGGATAATCTATCGGCGATAGGAATTGAAAAGTATCGAGAAGAGCTTCCCGTCTACGAAACAACTCGCTTGAAAACGAATCGTGTAATTTCCAGATGAAGAACTATTGTCAAATTAAATTAATTGCTTAGTAATATTAATTATTAATTACTGGTTTGGGGGTGGATTAATTAATTTTGGATACTGAGTGAGGTTATATGTATGTAGTGTTTCCGCAAAATGAGTTTACTTGTGAGTTCTGTAATACTGATACTTAGCTTGATCAGCTCCTAATTATAATTTGGATTAATCGATTACTAAATTAAATAGACTAATTTCGAAATGAAAGGCGCCAGAGACGATGAAGATATTAGAAGGTGAGTTGAGAAAAGAAAGGAAAAAAAAAGAAGAGCAAAAGACAGATTTTCTACCCTTTGCCATCAATTTGGACAGTAAAGTGAGGTTGAATTTTTTTGTTTTCTTTATGTCACCTGATGGGATCCACTCATAGAAATATATTATGGTTTCCATTTTCATTTTTTATCAGATAACTATTTATATAGTCTAAGTATATAGAGTTTTATTGAATTACCAACCAATCAAATATGGAGTTTTGTTTATATACTGTAGATTTCCAAATGGTGAAATTAATGTGTTTATTCTGCCAATGTCCAACGCCACAAAAAAATTTCAATTTTCTAACTTGTAAAACGTTTTGATGGTTCTTAGTTTTAAGTTCTAACTAGTTATAATATTTGTTAACATCATGTATTTAAATTTTCATAGTTTCAACCATATCATTTCAATTTCACTGACTAGTCACCGCAATTTCACGATCTCCCCCAAATTGGAATTCACTTGCCAACGCTTCTGTTGTTTTACTTTCGTTGAATCTGAAATTACTTTAAATATAGAAAAGTAAATTAGGAAAAGTAAAAAAATTTGATTTGATGTTACTAAATATTAATCATGATAAATAAGATAGGGGACAAGAGTGAAAGAGACATGGTCTCAAATGTCATGGACAAGAGTATCCAATAATTTGATTCTCTTTTTTACTAACATTTTAATTGTATTTCGATTTAATTGTCTTTTTGTCCTAAGTGCGACCATCAATATTACAAATGGATTATACGCATGCTAATCCTCCGATAATATAATTCTAAATTACACCCTTTCTTTTCCATAATGTGTTCGAAAACCCAACCTACCATGCATGTTAAAATCCAACAAATTATTCTTTTTCTTATACTATGCATCATAAAGTAACTATATTCCACTTAAGTCGAAATCCCATATAAATTTAACGTCTAGGTGTATAGATAAAAAAGGTTAATAATAGCCTAATCATTGCATTATGATACGGTACACTAATAAAGCTATTACAAGATTCTTAATTTGAGATAAGTACACTTTGTTAAAATAAAAATAGTTACGAAGAGAAAAAGTATATAGCCATGACGAATTCCCTATACAAAGGGAAGGGAGCATAAGACACTAATACGATTACTTTTCCGATTAAAACGTAGTTTTGACTAGTGTGTTATGGCGAATTTTTTATTGGTTTAATTTATCATGGCAAATTAGTAGGCGATTTAGCGGACACGGATTTGTTTTAGAGGTCATGAGTTCGAATTTATCCTTTTGCATTACTTTGTTTCATACCAAAAGATTTACTTTTCTAAAAAAAAACGTTAGCAAAATACTCAGTTGTAATTTGCATACTCAGTTGTAATTTGCATAGTTTTCTTTAATCAAAGGAGACTATGCAGACTAATTAATCAGATTTACACCACTATCAAGACAACATATATATATCAATTATCAAATAACCAATGAAATGATTAAGAACTTAAACGTAGTTAGTTTCATTTGTTAAAATTCACTTATTTATGTCAGTACTGTGAGTCTGTTACAGTCATCAGATTCTTGTATGAATGTGGCATTTAGAAAAAAAACTACTGCTACTAGTGATCATGTTTTCGGTTCGCCAAGAGAGCTAACGCTCGAATTCTCGAAGCAATGTGTCAAGTAGTAGTAGATATTAATGTTAAAAAAATAAGAGTAGTTTTAAGCTTTTTATCAATATTTTGCAGGTGGGCAGCATAAGCAAGAAGTTGGTGAACATATCAATCAATTAAAGCAATAGGACAGCTACATATCATATACAAAACTATTACTATACAATTTACGTATATCTAATAATAGAGGACTCAAGGGGGCAAACCATGTCCCATTAACAACCATGCATGCACGACTCGTCATTCTCATGCACTCTCTAACCCTTAAATAACCATCAGAATGCAGACGAGAGGATGATTGGTCTTGTTTTGATACGAACTTTGTCGATTTGTTAATACATCTGCATATGTATATACCTTAGCAAATTGTTAGTATATATGTACCAGACCAATTATTAATACTGTTCAATTAATCGTGTACTTACCGTTTTTTCAGATCAACGAAGAAAAAAAGCTTTTAAGATGTCCAAATGTGTATACCAAAAGAGTTACAGACACTAATTAAATAAGCTATTTTTTTGTTCTTGTTAAATATGAAATCAGCTATATATTAATTAATGGTGCAATAAAGACGGAAAATAACCCATCTGTGCTATGTGGCTCCCTGACATGTTATATTCAGTTTCAAATACAAATTTAATTTGCGTCTTTAATAAATGGTCTGAGTGTATTATGATGACTCACGAACAAAACATATCTGATATAGCGATGGTTTTTGAATGAACAAAAAGAGAGGAAATTGTTTGAGAAAATGAAAGAGACATGAGAGGAATTTTATGAGGGCGAGAAAGAAGAGCTAATTAAAGAGAGCCACGTGGATAGGCAGCTACAGACCAAAACAAGTGGATATGACTTTAGCCCGCACGTGACGGGTGGCCTCTGATGTCTGCTGGTTGTCGCGCGTGCACACGTGTGAACCCTTCTTTTGTTTTGTTTTTTTTTCTCTCGATCCCTATAAATAATCTTCCTTCTTCACGTCACCTGTGGGCCCTTATTGGCTGGGAAATTTGGAAAATGAGGGATAACAAATGTGCTTCATTATTTTCCTTTGAGATGCGATTTGTTCATACTTGTATTTGAATTAGCATAATGTTTTTGTTTTAAAAGATACTAGATTCTAATCCGTGCATCCGCACGATAATATTTTTTATTGTTTAACGAATTTTGTAATATAATTTGTGTTTTTGAGTTTAAATATAATTATTTTTATAAATATATTTTTTAATAAGTGAAAATATTGATTTTTGTGTTTTGATATATTTTTATAATATTAAAATTAATTATGATTATAAAAATATAATTATCTATTATTTTATTATTAATTTGTAAATAAATCATAATCATAAATATATTATATAAGCAACATAAATATCATATCATTTACATCATTATAGATATTTTATATTTTAAATATGACCATTATTTTTTATATGTGAATTTTATTTTTTTAAAATTCTAGATATTTTTGATAAAAATGTTTAATAGTATAAAAATAATTTAAATTAGAATCTTTAAATCAAATCTAAATTAATATCTGATTTATTATTTTTAATCAAATCAAATCAAATCTAAATTACCTATATTTAAGGAACTCTAAAAATATTTAAATTAATAACTAATTTTCGAAATTAAATATAAATAATTATTAAAATTATTTTTAAATACTTAAAAAAAATTAGGAGTGTTTGGAAGCAAGTACTAAATGTGCTTCTGTTTTAATATAATAGATATTTTAGTTCTCCAAAATTAGTTTATATCTAAAATATAAAATACTTTGAATATGTATATTCAAGTTATATATTTTTCGAAAATTAATTAAAAATGAAACAAATATTTTTTTTTTGTATTATAGATTCTCAAAATTCATGATGTTATTATTGTCTTTTTATTCAATACAAAAATGTTACTTTTCAATTATTTTAAAACAATGGTTGGTTTTGAATTGTAGAATTTTTTTAGAATGTAAAGTCCATACATAAACCTACATTTTCTCTTGATTAATTAAAAAACTTTATATGTAAATGCTACAGTTTGAAAGAAAAAATCTTGCTATAATATTAATCGCAATAGCAGTATACAAATAGAAGTGTTGGGATTTTATAAAGGGAGAAAAAGGGTGAAATGTGTGATATACTGATATATGCAGCTAAAATACACACGAAAAAAGAAGAATGTTTTGTTGGAGGGATACCCAAGAAGATGATTGTCACTGACCTGCAGCTTTTTGTCTGGAAGACGACATGGTATCGTATCAACATCCCTCTTTTTTCCCACTGTGTATCCATTTTTTATGCTCTTATTATTATTATTAAATTTTTTTTTTCATGTAGAAGAAAGATTCTTTACATTGATCCCGAAATCTGTTTTTTTTTGTTTGTTTTAAACTTTCCCACGATTAAATTTAACTTCAAATACCATATAGATCAAGCGCTTGAGATTATTAATTTCCTATGATATATATGTATTTTATGACGGCTGTATGAAAGAAACCCTAGCTTCCAATTTCAATAATGCTGCATTTAGAAGGATCCAACATATTAGGTTATATGCATCAACTTTGGATCGATCAAGACAAAAAAAAGTTGCTGGTGCTGTTTGTTGATTGATCAGTCAAAATTCATATTATTTGTTTTTTCTGAACATTTCCAAATTCATCTTACCTGTATAATTGTTGAATTTGTCTTTTTCATATATATGCCACAAGTTGGAATGGAGACATATTTCAAGTATACAAAATGTTTATTATGAATTCTTCTTCTATTATTACTTCTACCCTTCTAATTCTATTGTTGGTGTTGTAATTGATTTGCATTTTAATAATACTTTTGTTTGCTAACGTATAGTAAATTTTCTAATACGTAACTTTTTCACTTACTCGGAAATCCCGGACATTCACTTCACTTCTTACATATTGGAAACAATATTTTGAAAGTCATGTTAAAAGTCCTGGTAACGTTGATTTTACATGTAACAAATATGTAACGTAAATCATAATCTCCTTGGAACACGATATTTTTTAGAAAAAAAATAATGAAAAAAATGTTCAAAGCCCATTCATGCGGAGCTTGTCTTGTGTGAATGGAGACTGACTATATACTTTTTGTCAAGTCTAATTCGTCTTTTATAAGCATGTACTACCGTACTATAATTAAACCCAAAATCAGAAGAAGAAACATTTGCTCTGACTAAAAGCATGCAAATTGATGAGACATTTTGTTAATAATTGATGAAAACCAAGATGATCTTGAGGTGTAAACCGGACTGGTTTATGCAAATTGGGCACCGGTATATAAGTGAGGTTGTTTTAGTTGGCAGAGTAAGACTGCATATTTCTTTTGCTTTTTCTGATTTATATATGAAACAAGAAATCAAAAAGAAACGAAGAAAGTTGGATTCGTAATTCCTACAAGCAAGGAAAAGTGGGAAATTGGAAACACAGGTCCTTAAACATAAGAAAAACCAATTCTCGCATTATTGAATGATACCTAAATAATCAAAAGAACTAGAGAAACAATCGATAAATCAAATCTGGGTCCTCTTTTTTTTTTTTTTTTCAACAAAAACCCCTATATTATTAAGTTTGCGGTAAAAGATTCTCCTCAAAAGAAAGCCAGACCGGAACTGAAAAGTTTATATGGGAAAATATTAAACCTCGTGTTCTTGCACTTGGCAAGTTTATCCGCACGGACGTTACAAAGACGAGGAATATAAACTAATTTAAAGGATCTAAATTGGGAAAACATAGCTTTGAAATCCCCAAGTTCAGCTGCAAATGTAGGCCACTCAGCTGGGGAATCCGTCATAGCTAGGAGGTCAAGGCAATCCGTCGCAAAAGTTTCACATTGGATGTTGGCCGAGAGAATGCACTTCATAACCCAAAGAAGAGAGTCTAGCTCGACATGGAGGGGCGATAGACTACGCGACGAGCTTCTACGTCCAACTCGGAGTATTCTGTCTCCCAACGATACCAGCCAACCGTGGCCACTGAGAGGATCTGAATCGTGCCAAGAGCCATCAAAGTAACAGGTCGTGATGGACGTCAAAGACGCACTTCCAAGCTCTCGTCTAACTCCTGTCACCTCTAAGGTATAGTCCTCCTCGTTAGCATTCCTCCAAGTTTCCTCCTCATGTATTGCATGCTCCAGAATATCTGGGGGAAGATCATCTATGTTGTCAAAGACTTTTTTGTTCCTTGACTTCCATAAGAACCACATAATCCAAGGGAAGATACATATATTTTCTTCAGATGTTCCAAATTCCTTAGCTCTCCAAAACAGGTAGTCAAGATTACCAAAGATAGAAGCTTGGGGGAAAATGCTTGGTGCCGAAGGGATAGGTGAGAGTGCCCATACTTGCTTCGATGGTGGCATTCAAAAATAACATGGTTAATAGACTCTTCCTCTGCACCGCACCGGGGACATCTTTTATCCCTTCCAATATGGCGGGAAGCTAGACGTTGGCATGTCGCCAGACAACCCGTAATACATTGCCACACGAAATGTTTAATTTTTCGCGTAGTTTTTAACTTCCAAGCTTGCGCCGACAGTACCGTAGTACTAGGTCCCTGAAGAGGGGGGTCACAAGCAAGACGAGATAGGGATCTCGCAATCCAATAGCCTGATTTTACCGTATAATTACCGGATTTAGTGAGGGACCAGCTGTATCCATCTCTCGAGACATTTTGACTCGGACGAATCCCTAGGATAAGGGCTATCTCCTCAGGCGGGAAAAGCTCCCGAAGTCGGGCTGATTTCCATTGTTTTGATTCAAAATCAATCAAGGAGTTGACGAATAGAAGAGGATCTCGTTCAACATGTATTCCTACAGGAGGTCGGGGCGGGTCGTCTGGGATCCACGGATCTAACCACACCAGCGTTTCAAACCCCGATCCAATGTTCTTACGAAGGCCCGAAGCTAGAAGGGGTTTAGCAGCTAAGATGCTTCGCCATCCGTATGACGGACGGTTGGAGACAGTAATCTCTAGGAGACTACAGTATTTGTAGTATCTTCCTTTTAAGACCCGGTTCAGTAGGGAGTCGGGGAACCGAAGGAGGCGCCACAACTGTTTCGCTAGGAGAGCGAGGTTGAATTCTTCAAAAGTCCTGAACCCGAGACCTCCCTTTGCGAGATGGGTGCAAAGGGAGTCCCAAGATACCCAATGGATACCTCTGCTTTCCTCCTTGGAGCTCCACCAAAAATTGGCAATTGCACTTCTAAGTTTGGAGCAAATAGCTTTCAAGAGAAGAAAACACAAACACGACATAACATATATCGGAATCGCTTGAGCTTGGGATTTAAGTATGATAGCTTTATCTGGGTCCTCTTATGTGTGCATTAGAGTAATTGTTATTGTGTAATTTACGATGAGTGAATTTCTAGTCCTGATTGTAAGCATGATTTTACATAAATATTAAAATTTTTTAAAATAGAGATTAATCACATAATAGAATCATAAAAAATTTCGACAAAAAAAAATCTAGCAAAGTATCTCCAACATTGTTGCTTATAGCTTTTCTTGAACGATATCTCGAATGAAAGATGGAAAACATGATCTTTAGAAGCAGTTCAGGTTTTTCTCCTTCTCCCGCTTGGATTTTTTACCCGATTCACATGATTCAAACAATTGACATGTTCCGTATTTTTTCCTTTTGCAAATTTGTTTCGAATGATAATAATTTAATATGGGCTATTTTCTTAAAAAGGTTTAATATGGGCTTTAAAAGCCCAAAATGTCATCCTTAATTCATTCATTCTCTGTCAGATGTAGTAGACGGAAAAAGGAAGAGAGCGACGTCTTCTTCAGGTATCTTTCCATCTTACGAACCATCAATGGCGACAGAGTCCCCGAGCTCTGTTCGTAAAGGTGAGTCTTCGATTTATCCATGGAATTCGATAATTGTTTCGATTGAATCTATAAATGAAACGATTGATGTTTAACAATTCATTTTCGTCGAATTGAAATAGAGAATTTTGATCCCTGTTTGAGGATTTTTGATGATATCTCGTCTGCTTTTGTTTTTGATAATTTACTCCGGTTTATGTTTATACAACAGTTGTTGTTCATCTAAGAGCTACTGGAGGTGCTCCTATACTCAAACAATCTAAATTCAAGGTATTAATCTTATCACCTTCCACGCTCGCATTTGAGGGATATACTTTTAGGGTTTTGTTTGATCAATTCTTCCAGAGAGATGAATCTTCTTGATAGTTTCTGTATTTTTGGCTTTGAGTTGATGAATTTTGAGCGTTGGTATTTGGTAAAAGTTGCTTAGTTAGGTTACTACTTTCACAATCTAGGCAAAATCGCATAATTCCCACATTCTTTTAAATTACTTTTTGATCTTTCTGCGTTGTAAATGTTCTGGAATTTGCGTGTAACAGATTCCGGGGACTGATAAATTTGCTAAAGTGATCGACTTTTTAAGAAGACAACTTCATTCTGACTCATTGGTAAGAAAACACAGCTTCTTCTTTATGTGTATGGATCCTTTAAAAGCCTTGACAGTTTTCTTTGTTTGTAAGTTTGTCTATGTGAACAGTGCTTTCTCGCCAAACCCTGATGAATCAGTAGACGATCTATACAATGTAAGGAGATTTTTCAGTTGCTCCAGTCTGTGTATCAAGAATCTGTCTCTATTATTACCACTTGAAAATAATCTTCTTATTGCTTACATGGTGCTGGTTTTGGTATTTGTAGAACTTTGGCTTTGATGGTAAACTGGTGGTTAACTATGCTTTTTCAATGGCTTGGGGCTAAAGGCGCGTACTACGGTATTCTCAAGCCGCGTAAGCACCTTTTTTCTGCTGTTAGATAAAATGATGATGAGTGAAGCGTATATGGGCATTATCAATATAACGTCTTGTGTTTTATTGTTTCAGGGTGAAGATAGATCCTCGCTTTGTTGGAAAGATGACTTTCAAATGGAAGTTTCTGTACATAATCTAGCGTTGGAATTGATAATTTCTTACTCTAAATACTACATGTACACAATGACAAAATCAAACTTCAAAGAAATTAGGTTTTAATCTCGTATGTGTATTTTTGTTGAGCTCGTGTTGAGATTCAAAATTAGGAAACAGAGATTGTTATTTTTCTTCTTCTTCACCAAAACCTATAAAGAGGCAAATTACTTCATTGATTTAGTTAGAGTAGGAAATATATAAACTTTGGAAAAAGTTTGTGGAATTCTCAATTTATAGTTGACTTTAGAGTGCGACAATTATTTAGTTAAGAGTATCATGTAATGAACTTCGATTTAGTCTTACACATTATTGTAACTTTACCAAATAACACATTACCAAGAATTTGACTGTACAATGGTTGGCAAATTAGTGATTTGGAAAAGTTTGGAAATTGAACGGATTGGGTTTACATTATTGGATTAGATATCGGGCCCAGATGTGTTATATGACGTTGGCCCATTAACGTGCTTAAAGGGAAGCTTTCTTATGCGACGTCGTTTTGTCCACAACTCTACTTCTCTTGTCCGCCAAGACGGGAAGTCTGAGGAAAAGCATAAGAAGAAAAGAACCCAGGAAGAAGCAAGCACATTGAAAACGAAGCAAAGATTCAGAAACTTAAAATAAACTTGGAGAATAGATATGGATGGTTCATCGTCTTCTTCTTCGCCTTCACTGATGTCCAAATCGGACGGCGAGTTGGAGGAAATGCTCGATCGGATGCTCACTAGGCTCGCTCTCTGCGACGACTCCAAGCTTGAAGCCCTAGTCTCGAAGCTCCTTCCCCTTACCATATCATCTCTCTCCTCCCAATCTCCCGCTGTTCGCAACAAGGCAATTTGCTCTTCTACTGAATTTAGTGTTTGATGATTTAAAATCGTACGAGCAAGAGATATCCGTTATAGAAATTATGGTGGGAAGTTTATAGGAAATCGTGATATCCAGTCTCAATGTTTGTTGATTTACCCTTATTTTTCTTTGATTTGGCAGGTTCTTGAGATATTGAGTCATGTAAACAAGAGAGTGAAGCACCAGCATGAAATTGGTTTGCCGTTGTTGGACTTATGGAAATTGTACACCGACCCTGCTGCTTCTCCTATGGTTAGGAATTTCGCTATCGTGTATGTTGAGATGGCTTTTGAACGAGCTCCTGCTAAGGTTTGGTCATCTTGTTATTTGATCATCACGTTGTTAGAATTTGCATATGCTTGTCGGTAGTGGAAATATTGCTAACCAAATTAGAGGACTGGTTCTTGTTTCCTGTTATAGGAAAGAGAGGATATTGCACCTAAGACATTGGAGAATGTTTCGAAGCTTCCTCAGCAGCACCAGGAGATTGTTTTGAGAATTGCCATTAAGGTGGTCTCTCAGTCCTTCCTTTAGTGTGAAATTGGATATCTATTTTATCTCCACTATTATACATCTTTTTTTTTCTTTTCTAAATCGTTACTTAGATGACAAAGCCAATATGTTTGCTTTATTTTGTCTTCGTATTGTTTATAGTGACACTTCCTTTTGCGACTTTTTTTTCTCTATTTGAAGCATTTATAGTGGTTAGTGCTGCATATATTGGTAGTCCTAAAGGTTTTATGTGGGGAACGATATCAGGTGATTCCTAAAGTCTTATAAAAATTGATACGCAGGCGAAGACTATTGGGCTGAATTGGTGGTATAGATGATCATTTTAGAATGTCTATTTGCACTACACACAATCATTAGCCTTTCAATATCCTGAAATTCCAATTGGTTTTTGTTCAGGTTATTGGAGAGTGTCATGCAAGCAAGATCAGTGATGATGTCGCTGTAAAGTATAGATCTCTGATTGCATCTCAGGATAAAGAATTGTTTCTGGATTTTTGCCTTCATATGCTTTTGTATCAACCAGCTCCTCAAGGGTATGGAATCCATTCGAGTGTTTTTCGACAATCTTTTGTTCTACTAGTTATATCTGCATCAAATAATAACTCGACCTTCTTATTCAGAGGAGGACCTCCTCCTGGGCTTTCAGTTTTTCAAGTTAATCGCATCAGGGGAAAGCAAGCATTGAAAGGGGACATGCTTACGAAAAGAAAGGTCTTAAAACTTCAAACTTATCTCTTTCTATTGCTGCCAAGCTATACATTTGTCACTAAGAACTAATTTGTTTAAAATAAATCGATCAATTCGTTAAGCAGTTGGGGATCTTGAATGTCATTGCAACCATGGACCTGCCTGGTGAATCTGTATATCCGTTGTACATTGCTGCATCAGTGGATAGGTATTGCTTTATGTTTTTGCCAGATGACATGCTTTGTTCTTGTCACGTGACATGAAATACTTTTTTTTTATCACTGTCCTTCTGCACTTCATTTCTACTCTTCATGTCTCTGAGAGTTGGTATGAATTTGTTGGTTAAAATTCATTCAAGTCAAGAACCTGTAGCTAAGAGAGGGGAGGAGCTTCTAAAAAAGAAAGCTTCTGGAACAAATTTGGATGATCCCAAGTTGATAAACAGACTGTTCGTACTATTCAATGGTACGTGATTCTTTTATTTTTCCAACATTTTGATTAATTTTTCTTGGACACTCAAATCATTTTTGTTCTAGGAAAGCTTAAAAGTGATATTATTTAATCCATTCCTAGCATTTAGGACCAGGTCTATGTTTCCTGCAAGGTTAAATGTTTGAAATTAAGTTTTCTTCTGCTACTCGTGGATGACATGACTATGTCTTATCCTTGAGTATGTAGACTCTATTGTAATACTGATTCGTATATATTTGGGAGATCTGGAGTGTTGAGGGTTTCTTCTCGTGTTTGGGTATTTATTTTCCGTGTCCATGCTAAATTGGCAGTCATCAATTTGATGCAGGCACTACTTCCACTGGACATGTTGCTCCAGAACATAATGTAGCTCCAGGAAACACAGCCTTGAAAGTGAAGCTCATGTCTGGTTTCTGTCGTTCTATCGCAGCTGCAAATAGTTTTCCTGCAACATTGCAATGCATATTTGGCTGCATGTATGGTATGTCGGTTAATATATATGACATACATTTAGAACTGTTTGTATATCTGTTTAGTTAGATAATTATGTAAATATTATTTGTTCGTAAATAGTTTTATATAGTCAATCAAATTCAAACTAACATGTTGCACTACAGACACGACTATCTTATAAGAAAAAGTTAATGATCTGTGTTTTGACTATTGTAAGAAGAATGATTTGGCTTGTTCCTGACGCTGGCTTCTCTTTCAAGAGGGTTCAATTATTAGTGATCAGGAAATTCTTGAATCACTTGGTGCCTGTTCCCTATGAATATGGTTCTCCATTTATTTTTTCATGTTGGTTATTGAGTATTTTCGCTATCTACCTTGTCTTCTTGGGACAGGAAGTGGAACGACCTTAAGGCTAAAGCAAATGGGAATGGAATTCACCGTGTGGGTTTTTAAGCATGTAAGTCTTTTTTCTATGCTTCAATCTTGCTGTTATGTTTGTTTTGTGTAATAGCAGAGATTATGAATGCAAATATCTATTAATTCTTTTTGTGAAAATAACTCAAATATATTTTGCTCAACTCAATGTTAGAAGTCCCTTTCTTTTTCATTTTTGGGTTTCAAATCTTTCTTTCTGAAAATGCAGGGGAAGATAGATCAATTGAAACTTATGGGCCCTGTTATACTGAGTGCTATTCTGAAAATGCTTGACGGTTTCACAGGCTCAGAAGCAGGTCAGCATTTTTGAATAAATAAAGTCCCGAGTTTCTTGTATAGGTGTTCAAAAAAGGATATAAGTAGATATGTTACATGCTTTCCTTCAGATGCGCTATCAAGGGAGACCAAAACATTTTCTTTTCAAGCTATTGGTTTGATTGCACAACGTTTGCCTCAGCTTTTTAGGTAAGGACTTCTCTTCACTGCCCTACATTTGTTTTTCCTGTCATTTTACAGACATTTTGTTTGTTGTGGACTTAACTTTCAGAGAAAAGACTGAAATGGCTGTTCGTCTCTTTGACGCGCTGAAGTTAGAAACCCAATCTCTTCGTTCAACTATCCAGGAGGCAATCATATCTCTTGCTGCTGCATACAAGGTATGCTAGTTTAACGTTATATTGACAATTAATCATTTTCTTTCTATTATGGTCCTCGTGCTCCAAAAGTTTATGCTATGATTTCATTTTCCTATTATGCATTCTTTTGGAGGCTCACCATGTCAATATTGGTATCCATCTCTTTAGGACTCCCCGGAGAATATTCTCAGGGATTTGGAGGTTCTTCTGCTAGCAAATTCTCTGGCGGTATGTATACTTTTCGGATATGATTTATTTCGCTTCTTTGCGCCACTGCGTGCGAGAATATATATTTTTTGCTCTGTTTGTATACTATTTCAAGATAGTTTGTTCCCATGTTTTCTCGAGTTTATAAAATCTAGTATCTTTATGGCTTATATTGACCAGGAACAAAATGAAGCACGCTTTTGTGCTTTGCGATGGGCAACTTCTTTGTATAATTCACAACATTGTCCAAGTCTGTATATGTGCATGCTCAGCGCAGCAGATCCGAAGCTAGATATACGGTACTGGAGTTTATCTTTATCTCACTGCGTGTTGTTGTGACTGTGGCATGTTTAATTGCAGAAAATGAGTTTTTTTTCTCCCAATAGATTCTTCTTATGGGTACACATATTTTATGATAAATCAAAGCTGAAATAAAATTCAACGCACATGAGGAAGCCCTAGAAACTTGTAAAAGTCTTTGAACATTTTCCACCGAAGGGTATACAATCTTCTCGTTTGATATTTTTCCTTCTAGTTTTGTAGTACATTTGTGAGTTTGATATACCTCAAGATGAGGCACTTGACGGAATTCTGTGATAAGACAAAATGACTTTCATACTTAACAAATCCTCTTCCGTTGATCCATCATGAACTGATGTGTATTATTCCATTTTTCTACTTCAGGGAACTAGCACTCGAAGGACTCTTTCTGAAAGAAGAAGGTCGCAGTATAGTCTCTAATCATGATCATAAATACCCAAAATTTGTTGAGATGCTGGAGTACATTCTCAAGCAACAGCCAAAACTGTTAGATTCTTCAGAAATGAGAGGCCAGAAGCTTCTCTTTCCGTCGCAAGTCTATGTGGTCATGATTAAGTTTTTAGTGAAGTGTTTTGAGTTGCAGATGGAGGAGATCGATACCCAGGCAGTAGGTGCTGAATTTTTGTATTCGGCGCAAAGGATGTGTTTGTTGTTGGAACATTCCCTGGCATTCGAAGGCTCGGCTGAATTGCATGCTTGTGCTTCCAAAGCATTGGTTTCAGTTGGTTCTTACCTTCCAGAGGTCTACTTTCTGATTATTTCTTTATCCTTTCAATTTAACCATTTTCTTGCAGTTCAGATCTATCCTAAGTTAACCCTCCATCTTCCGTTTTCTTCTTTGCATGAAGGTTGTTGAGGTTTACTGTTCTAAGAAAATTGTGTGGCTACGGCGTCTGCTTAGTCATACAGACTTGAGTACTCGTGAATCTGCATCACGTTTACTGGGAATGGCATCCTGTGCTCTTTCTGATGCCGAATCATGTTCCTTGATTTCTGAATTGATAGCTTCTATTTCCCAATCGCCGCAGAAGTTAAGGTGTTGTTCATTTCTTTTAGAATCTGTATTGCAACAAGGCTTGTGGCTGCAGGAATTAGAAACCTCTTAATGCTAAGCTTTTGCTTTCTTAGGTTCGAGGCACACCATGGGGGATTGTGCGCTGTAGGATATGTTTCAGCACAATGTTTATATAGAATGCCCGCTGTAAGTTATTGCGACTTTCTTATATGATTGTTGTAGAATAATGATGGTACTAGGAATCTCAATTCTGTATGTCTCTTCTTGTATTGTACCTTAATTGGCTTGTGGTTGATTGGCTAAATTTTGAGCGTTAAATTACATTTGCCAGCTTACCACGTCTTAACATCTGTTTTTGAAATGACTACATCTTTTCAATATTTTATGGTATCATGTTAAGGATTTTCTGCGAAACAGGTTTCTGAAGCAGTTACTCAAAATGCGGTTAAATGTTTGGTGGATGTTGTTAACTTGGAGACTGCACCACTGGCTTCGGTTGCTATGGAAGCTCTGGGTCATATTGGAATCTGTGGCGCATTACCTCTTCTTATTAATGATTCTAGTCCAGGTCAGTTTATGCCAAGAGCCTGTCTGTAACTTGTATACGAGTTTTCAGCTGATTGACTTGCTCAGTTGCTCTATCAGGGACTCAAGTGCTGGAAGTTCTGCAAGAAAGATTGAGCAAGCTGCTCTCTGGTGATGATATAAAATCTGTTCAGAAAATTGCTCTTTCTCTTGGACATATCTGTTCAAATGAAATGTCATCTTCACACTTGAAAATAGCGCTTGATCTTTTATTTAGCCTTTCACGGTCAAAGGTGGGTTTGTTTGCCACTTCTCTGTGTCCTGTTTATTTGATCAGGCTGAACTGAATTAACCCCTAAATATTGTACATTTGCTGTTGGTCAGGCTGAAGAAATTTTGTTTGCTGCGGGTGAGGCGTTATCTTTCCTCTGGGGTGGTGTACCAGTTACTGCTGATCTGATTTTAAAAACTAATTATACATCTCTTTCGACGGATTCAAATTTTCTGATGCGAGAAGTTAAATCTTTGTCAAAAAAATTGTCTGATGCCGAAACTGGTGTTGGTGAAGATAGCCGTGCGATAACCAGAGAAACAATTTCTGGTAAACTCTTTGATACTCTTCTGTACAGTAGCAGGAAGGATGAACGATGTGCTGGAACTGTATGGATACTATCTTTGATCATGTACTGTGGCCAGCAGCCATCTATCCAGCTAATGCTTCCTAAAATTCAGGTTAGCAAGCAGCACCTGGAAACTTCTTTGCAGTTGTAACCTTCTTCTTTTATTGCACACATGATCCTGTGTCACCTGCTCCTGTACCATAACAACTAAAAAGAAAATTAAGAGCCTTGTCATTCCAGTTTATATAGATGCATTACCCATTTGGAGCGTGGTACCGGTATCTCCATTACTATTTTAACATGAAACCCTGTGACAATCTTTTGCTTTGTCTTTTTTTTTTTCCCTGCCAGTTAGGTGTTGTCAAAACCACTCTGGGTGGAAGCTTGTACAAACTGTTGTTTAACGGAAATATTTTTTTGCAGGAAGCTTTCTCACATTTGTTAGGTGACCAGAATGAACTTACACAGGAGCTGGCATCCCAGGGCATGAGCATCGTCTATGAACTCGGTGATGCGTCAATGAAAAAAAGCCTGGTAGATGCTCTGGTTAATACTCTAACTGGCACAAGCAAAAGAAAACGAGCTATAAAGGTATAATCTATTCATCTAGGCCCTTCCTTCTGATACTCCAGGTTTTGTATTTGGTCCTTAAGTATTTTCTTATCCAGCTTGTTGAAGAGACTGAAGTGTTTCAAGAGGGAACTATCGGTGAGAGTCCCAGTGGAGGGAAAATTAGCACGTACAAGGAGCTTTGTAATCTTGCAAATGAAATGGGGCAACCAGATTTGATTTACAAGTTTATGGATTTAGCCAATCACCAAGCATCTCTTAATTCAAAGAGAGGAGCTGCTTTTGGGTTTTCCAAGATAGCCAAACAAGCAGGAGATGCTCTTCGACCACATTTGCGATTGTTAATTCCGCGGTTGATTCGATACCAATATGATCCTGACAAAAACGTGCAGGTTAGATTACTACGTTTCCATAATATTGACCTGTTATTGGCGGGGGTTATTCAATCTGGGGCCCTATTCATCCTGGAATGCTCATAATATTATTGTTTTTTAATTTCTTTTGCTTACTGATAATATTCATCATTGTTCGAACGACTAAAATTTGGCTTGTTTAAGTTGAACGGAGTGGCACCATTTCTAGTATTTGGCTTGTTTAAGTTGAACGACTATAACTGCTACTGTTCATGTAATCTTGGTAGGATGCGATGGCACACATTTGGAAAGCATTGATACAAGACCCTAAGAAAGCTGTTGACGAACATTTGAATCACATCTTTGATGATCTGCTAGTACAATGTGGTTCAAGGCTTTGGCGCTCCCGTGAGGCATCCTGTCTTGCCCTTGCTGATATTATTCAAGGTCGCAAATTTGACCAGGTGAGATCTTCGTTTTCTAATAGACAGTTAAAACGAAACTTCCCCTTGCTTCGGCTCTGCTTACTACATTGGTAAATTCTACTTAATGTATGATGTTAAACTCCATATCTTGAGTTTTCTTAATGCTATTATTTATTCACGCACTCTTGATATAAAAGGTTGGGGAGCATTTAAAAAGACTATGGATAGCTGCTTTCCGTGCTATGGATGACATCAAAGAGACTGTGAGAAATGCTGGTGATAAGTTATGCCGTGCCGTGACATCCTTAACAATAAGGATTTGTGATGTCACGCTTACCGAACTATCAGATGCTAGACAAGCAATGGATATTGTTCTTCCTCTTTTGCTTTCAGACGGAATAATGAGTAAAGTCGACAGTGTCCGTAAGGCTTCAATTGGAGTTGTTATGAAGCTTGCGAAGGTTAGCCCTAACTTTGGTAGATTTGGTGATCTAAGATAGTAGTGCTCATATATAACCCCCCATATTTTTTATTCTTCAATACAGTTGAGTAATTAGTAAATCCAGATAGCAGAAGTTAGACTCGTGTTGTCCGTTTTTAATGCTTTTGGTTGGGAGGACAGATATAAGCTGGATGTTAGTTTAACAAACGAGCATCTGGGATATTTTTTTCAAGTGTTATGTGTTCTTTCAGTTTGACTCCAAACATGAAGTACTTAATTAAATTTGAACTGTATACCACTGCATTATCTGTACTTCATTTTGTGCTGTTTGTTTCTGTTTGCAGGGTGCAGGAGTTGCCCTCCGTCCACATCTGTCAGACTTAGTTTGCTGTATGTTGGAAAGTTTGTCTAGTCTTGAAGACCAAGGACTTAACTATGTTGAGGTATCATTTAATGTCGGCAGCTCCAGATTAAATTTTCGCTTTTTTCCTGACATCGCATTAAATTTAATCTTTTCGTGTTTCAGTTGCATGCTGCTAATATTGGCATAGAAACCGAGAAACTTGAAAATTTACGAATTTCAATCTCGAAAGGCTCTCCAATGTGGGAAACTCTTGATCTGTGTATTAATATAGTGGATATTGAATCACTTGATCAGTTGATTCCTCGTCTCACTCAACTTGTTCGGGGTAGTGTTGGCCTCAATACGAGGTCAGTTATTCAAAACCTTTTATTAGTATAGAAGTGATTCTTCTACAACCTTTACTTGGGACTATCTTTCTTGATTTGGGTTCTGGCCGTTAGTATTGTCAAGTTTACTACCGAATGTGATGGAGGTAAGAGAACTTGCGATTGTGGTAAAAACTAAAAAAATCCCTCGTCAAATTGATTGCATTCAAGAAAAGGAAGTTTGTCATTAGTAGTGGGCAAAACCCATTACATTGGGTGGTGATGCTGAGGCGGGTAGGACATTTAAGAATTTCTTTCTCAAAGATCATTATAGTGGAGGTAGTTAGTTGCGAGATATTGAATGATTATTGCTTTTTCCATTATTTTCTTCTGTTTGGCTCACAGCTAACACATTACTCTGAGTAAATTTAAATGGGTTTCATATTTGGTCTACCCCTTTCTATCTTTCCTTCCTATAGCGATCCGGTATTTTAATTTATGCACCCCTTGTATTTGCTACAGTGGATATCTTTACTGAGAATTTAGTCTGACAGTATATATCTTAGAAGTAGGAAATCAATTGCAACCGGGTGTCATTCTGATAAACCATTTTTACCAGTGTTCTGCCTCTGCCATCTAAAAACACACAAAAAGGGGTTTAGGAAGTTAAGCAAGGGATATGATTTTTTTTTTCATAACTTGTAAAGAGTTCCCGAGAGAGAACTGAATTCACATAAGGTAGACATGATTAACTTTAACCATTCAATTAGTTGAATATAAGTGACGTAATTCCATACCTTCTCGCCAGTCCTAATGAACTCAGACTGTCTCAATGGGCTCGTCTAACTTTAACCGTTAAATTTGTTTATAAATGACTTAATTCCATACCTTCTCGTTCATCCTCATATCGTCTAACTGGTTTTAGTGTAGTGTAGGAGATTTGTCTCTTTTATTGGATTTCATGTATTCAATTGTAGATGTTGATATGAAATTTCATTTTTCCTTAACAGGGTTGGTGTTGCCAGCTTTATCTCATTACTAGTTCAAAGAGTTGGTACCGAGATAAAGCCGTTCACTGGAATGCTGCTAAGACTTTTGTTTCCTGTTGCCAAGGAGGAGAAAAGTTCTGCTGCAAAACGTGCCTTTTCGAGTGCATGTGGCATTGTATTGAAGTATTCTAGCCCCTCTCAAGCTCAAAGCTTAATCGAAGAAACTGCAGCTCTGCACTCTGGTGATAGAAGCTCCCAGATTGCATGTGCGAGTCTTTTCAAAAGTTTCTCATCTACAGCTTCTGATATTATGAGCGGTCATCAGTCAGCTATTGTTCCAGTTATATTTATTTCCAGGTAAACCATTGGTTTCGCATATTGTTGAGTCTGATGCATGGAAAATATTTTGCACAAGGATCTTGTAACCTGATAATAACTGATATCAGTCTTGAAATAAGCTCAAGAATTTATAGCTGTAAAGTCGTAACTCCCATGTTCAAATACCATCCTCATTCCTCAAGTAAGATCCAGAGTTTTTCGCAATTTGTGCTAGATGGTATCTTTCTCTCTTGCAAAAATGTGGCAAATTTTCCTTTATCATCTTTAAACCGTTTCCCGATTTTTCTAGACGCAGAAACTGCATAAATTATTTTCTTCTATTTGCCAATATATGAAAAGCTTACAGTTATTATAAATTCCAGATTTGAGGATGACAAACAGATTTCGAGCCTCTTTGAGGAGGTGTGGGAAGAAATCACAAGTGGTGAAAGGGTCACGTTGCAGTTGTATCTGCAAGAAATTGTGAATCATATTTGCGAGAGCATTACTTCATCCTCGTGGGCAAGCAAAAAGAAGGCAATTTATGATCTTTCTCGTGCCAATTCTTCTCTCTTCTTTGCACTAATTGATATTTCCGCTGGCGCTGTTGTACTCATAGAACAGTTCAACTTGCTTGCAGTCTGGTAGGGCAATCTGCAAACTAACTGAAGTCTTGGATGAATCATTATCGTCGCAACACAACCGATTGCTGCAATGTCTTCTTAATGAAATTCCTGGACGTTTATGGGAGGTGTGGCAAATTCTTTCATTCTGATATTTATTATTCTTTTCTTTTTCCTTGGTGGTTCATAAAATGTTAAATAAGATGAAATTATAACAGAAGGATTAAGTTTGAGAGGATAAATTTTTGTCGCTCCACTATTAGCTGCAGCTCTGTTCTTCTTGTCCTTATGGAGGCACCTTTTCTGCACTAGTTTTCTTATATCAATAATTGTGTTCACAGGGAAAGGATGCTCTTTTGGATGCCCTTGGTGCTCTTTCAGTCTCGTGCCACGAGGCAATTGCTAACGAGGATCCAAAAACTCCCACTATTATCTTGAATCTTATCTGTTCTGCATGCAGAAAGAAACTTAAGAAATATCGCGAGTCAGCCTTTTCTTGTCTAGAGAAAGTAAGTAAAGAGTTTCAGCTTATTTTTCAAAAAAGAAGAGCTGGCTCATGATATTTTAACATACTGACTATGCAGTTCTTACACAACATTATTCGGTTAGTGGATCTTTGAATTTTTTGATTTTATGTTATCAGGTCATTATAGCTTTTGGCGATCCAGAGTTTTTCAGTGCCGTTTTCCCTATGTTATATGAGATGTGTAATACTGCCTCCGTCAAAACAAGTTGTCAAGTTCAGTCAGCAAGCGATGCCGTCAAAACAGGTTGTTACTGACCAATGGACAATCCCATTAGTCCTATACTTTGATTGATAACACCTTTAGATTATTTGCGTGGTCACATTGGAAAATATGTTGAGATCACTAATCGTTAAAACTTGTACTTAGATTAGGAAACTTGTGGTAGAAATAGTCAGTTGCACGTCAAGTGTTGCCTCCTGAAGATGATTGTTTAGCCATAAACTGAAATTTGATCGATCAAATGAGACATCCCTTACCTCATTGAATAACTCATTTAGAAAATGGGTACTGTGCCATCAGAAAATTGTCTCGGTAATCTGAATAGCCGTCCACCCTTTGTTTTCAGAATCAGAAAACGGAGAAGACGGACATATCCCACTTGAAAAAATCATGGAATGCGTCAAGTCATGCATCCAAGTGGCAACCGTTGATGACATTCTCGGGCGGAAAGCAGATTTGATTAATGTTCTTCTAATTTCGTTATCACCTGGTTTTCAGTGGAATGGTACTGGTTTCTTCTCTCACTTTATCTTCCAGAGAATGTTTTATAACCTTAACCAATACCAATCTGATTTTTCCTTGGGCAGTAAAAATGTCTGGAATTTCATGTGTGGGAAAGCTTTGTTCAAGGTTTCGGAGTCTATGGAATGACTCTATGGATGGCATTCAACCTAGTGATGCGACAAAATTCGGTCATGAGGTAACTAATCACATCTACATATTTGACCTCACGCGTGTATAATTTTTTTACTGCATTTGAAGTATTCTGCTTGCTTTTCAGTTATATCATTCACTGGTCCCGAAACTACTGGAATGCATAAACACAGTGAAGATAGCGCAGGTATTGTTCTTCTCTGATTTGTATTAAATTCCAAGTTGATTTCCTTATTAGGTTTTAATCGGGGCAACTTGATGAAAAAAACTCAGTAATTATTTCTAGTTTACTTGCATTACAGTTCTTCTCAAGTTAGTTCATCAATGCTTTATGAGGTTTTGTTCTAGACAGGAAGAACCTTTGTTTTGACTAAGTATATGAGTGTGTTTAACTAAAGCAGGTCTAGTCCCTTCCATTAACAAAATGTATTGTTTTCATACAAGAAGATTTCACCTATCAGTAGTTTGCTATGGAAATGGTTTTGGCGATCTTCAAATTATCATTTGCATGAGCTGAATATGATGGAAATGTCATTTGAGAAAACCAAAATGATGGTAGTATAATATCTTGTCTTCTAAATCCTAACTGAATGTAAAAAAATTCCCTCAGGTTCATGTGACTACTTCGCAATGCCTGCTTGAGCTCATCGAACTGTATAGCATGGTCTCGTCATTGCATCCAGTGGAAGTAGATTTCAAGGCTGAGATTATCTCTCTGCTTGAACTCGAGAAGAGTGAAGAAGCTAAGTCGTTGTTGAGAAAATCCAGGGATGCGCTTGCAAATCTCCTCTCGTTAAATTAAGTATAGAGAATAGTCTAGTTTTTTATACCCAAGCCATTACGTGATATATTTATAAATGGAAATCTCTTACTTAAATAAGTTCCAAAAAAAAAAACAAGTTTGTCGTTCGATGTTGTATCAACAAGAGCAGACGAGTTAGTTACATATCTCAATTTTCTTTGATTTAGAGCTAAAACCTAAACGCATTTTATTTAATATGTGCGAAGTCCCCGGCTCTATTTTTCTTTCAAGATTTGTCGTTCAAGAATCACGAAACTTTGCAATTCAAATCATAAGTTGCACAACTTTCTTCATTATGTAAATTTGTTCAGAGATGCTGTTTGAGATCAAAATAGGTTTATATTGGGAAACTCCAAACACACTACATGTCTACAAAATCAGTCTTCTACTTGCAGCAACACACCAAAAGTGACGATATTTAAATATCTTGATTTGGCAAGACACAAAACACTACAAGGAGACCATGGATATATGCAGCATTACTCTTAGAAACATTTGTTAGATAACAGACTCTAAACTAGCAAATAGTCTTTTATTGTTTTATGTTCCTGAAGAGGAGTGAGTTTGAAGAGAAGTTAAGTCATCAACCTCTGCTTTGATCTCTATTTTGAGTTCTTCTTTGTACTCTTCAAACGTGCCTGGGAAGAAAGTCACTGCTCCGTCTTTTACAACCCAAATCTCACTCTTATTATCCGCTTCCTCACAGACACGAGACATGAGTCTCGAGTCGTGACTCACCAACACAACTCCTCCTTTGAACCCACGTAATGCATCCGCCAAGGCATCTATATATAGTCTGCATGTCCAGGTGATTCGTTGGCTCGTCAAGAAGCAAAATGTGTGGCTTCGACATTGAGATCCCCTAGCCTTCTGTCCTCCAGACGCTAACATCAATCAACTGCAGAAGAAGAGGAGGGAGCTCGTTTGGATCTGGAAAATCAAGCACTACGCTATAATCTCTCCACTTTCTTGGAGCTCCTCATCTATAGCCTTACCCTTTGTGGCCTTAAGCTTGGATGCTGCTTCTTCTTTCGCTGCAGCAAACTTGGCCCAGTCCTTAACCTTCTTGTCCTATTGAGACCTCTTAGCTGCTATGATGCGTTTCTCGTAATAAATCTGAGCCTTTTTGTTCATCTCCTTGCGTCGCTGACCATAATCAGTTTTGAAAGCATCGAAATTACCACGATAGACGTGGAGATTCTGGTCATGTAAATGTATTATATCAGTGCATACAGTGTTGAGGTAAGTCCACGTTATGTGAAGCAATCACCAACGTAGTATTCTTGGAGCGACGACACAAATAGTCCTCTTAACTATAAAACAGATCTCAGGTCGAGATGGTTGGTTGGTTCGTCCAAGAACAAAAGAGTAGGCTGCACAAAGAGAGCTCTAGCAATTGATATTCTCATCCTCCACCCACCACTCAGCTCCCTAGTTGGACTCGCTAGCAAAACTTTCTGTGAAACATAACCCTGCAAGGATTTTCGAAGCCTGAGCTTCAGCAGTATCTGAGTTCAACTCCTGTAGCTTATCATCATCAGAATTATTAGACGGATTCTGCTTCTTAATTTTATTATCTTCAAGAGCTTTAACTTGTTTCTTTAACTTAGCCAGATCTTCACTGGCAGAAACGACTGCGTCCAGAGGAAGCGTTGCATCACCTTCACCTCTTGCGGAACAAGAAGAATGTCAACATTCTTAGGAACTGGAATCTCTTGTTTTTTTTTTTTACGTATATACAAGAGAGAAGAAAATAAATAAAATATTTACTCTTTGATTGGGTGGTACATAAGAAAAAACATGTGATGAGAAGGATGGCAAGTTGAAACTTCGTCGACAAAGCCATTTAATAGTCAATTTTTTGTTTGTTTTTGTTTTTGTTTTTTGGTGTGAATTTGTTAAAGAAAAGGAAGAACACGGCCTATATACATATTTATACAGAATATTCAATTTTCCAATATCGAAACTACTTAACGACTTGTTAATAACGAGTTGAGATTTGGGAACAAAGTGCTCCCATGAAACAATATTGTTATTAGAATCATAAGATTACAAAATTTTAGCCCTTTAACAAAAACAATCCATATTGAATTTGATTTCCATTTTAATCTTATACTTAATTAAAATACTTGTTATTTTTTTTTTCTAAATTATGGTAAGCATCCATTGCATTGATATTTGGCTGAAATTACCTTACAACTTACAGATAGCGAAATAGATAATAGAGAATTCGTGTGTGTCACAAATTTAAGAAAGAGAAATGATGTCTAGAGGGCTACATGGCAATATGGCATGATAGACATAACTTTTTTTTTTGTATTTATATTTCTTAGTAAACAAAAGTTATTTATTTTCACTCTTTTTTTTTGCTATGAATATTTGTAAAAAAAGCTGAATCAAACAATATTTTTTCATGCATATGTGGTGGTTTGAATTTCTTAGAACTGACATAATAGTTTAAAAATGAAAAAGTGAAACCAGAAAATATAAAAAAAAATCTATATAACACAATAAAAATAGTATTGTTTGATACAAAAAAGCATTAAAAGTCGTTATTATGCAGGTGGATTTCCGTCAGTTTCCCAATAGTGAATAGTTTTGAAATAATTACACAGTTATTTAACTGATTTTTTTACTGCCGTCAAAAAAAAAACATAACTTTTTACTAACCAATATTAACCATATTTAGCATAAGTCTGTTATTCTCTCTCTCTCTGAATTTTCCCGGGAAATAATATTCTACCCTCTCTGAAAGTTTTTATTTTTTGGGGGGTCAAAATCTCTGAAAGTATTTCTTAGGTCAATTTTCCCACCCTGATGATACCTCCGTAAACAATTTGTCACATTACAGCCCAGAATTCACGATTCCTTACTTGCCTGATTCCGTTCGTTTCCTCGATTTCTCTCTCTCAGATCGGGAACAGATAAAAGTTTCCTCCTTTTTTTCTTCTTCTTCTTCTACAGATGCCACATTTTGGTTTGCGGTGGCGAAGAAAAGGAAAACGTTTTTGATTCAATCTCGTGAAAAATGGGTTTTCTGAATTTTGTCTTCAGATATTCAAGCCTCTACATTTTGATCCTCTGCCTATCTTTCACCATCCATTGTTTACTCCTCGTCAAATCTCAAGAACAACCTCTGATTCAACCGCCTCCGCCTCCGCCACCTCCACCGCCACCACCACCACCACCACCACCACCTTCGCCTCCACCTCCTTCTCCTCCTCCTCCTCCTCCTCCGCCTCCGCTTGTCAATGTGACAGGCATTTCTCCACCGCCTCCGGTACCGGAAATAATTGAAGAACCGCCTCCACCGCAACCGCAGCCTAGGTCAGAATCCCTTCCACCGTCTCCTGAGCCACCGCAACGGCGGTCTGGGTCACCGGAGAAATCTGAGAGAGGTGGATTAAACAAAGGGAAGACGGTGGGACTAGTCTTTGCTGGGTTAATCGCAATGTTGCAGGTCTTGGTTGTTGCCTTCTTGGTTTTCAAGAGAAGACAGCTTCTCAAATCCAAAGACACTCACTGAGATGCTAAAATTGTCTGGGATTGACCATAACTTCTTTTGCTCGTTTCAAAGTCATTTTGGTAAATTGCTAACTAGATTCAAGAATAGAGAGGAGAGAGGGTTTTAGGTCCAAGGAAGCTGCAAGTGTGAAACTCACAATGTAAAACTGTTTTCAGGAATCTCTTGAATTCTCATATGATTCACCAAATGTATTTCTTCTTTGAAGATGAATCTGATTCACTAAATGGTTTGGTTTACATGTTACCTTACTCGATTATGGTCCATAGTCAAGGCTTATTCTTTCTGCAATCTTTATAAGTGATGATCCAAGCTGCAGACTTATGAAATGATGATGATGATGAATACAAAATTCAATGAGAAAGAAGATAAACCAAAAAAACAGACTTCTGAAGGAGAAAGATTATACCCAAACACAATCTTGGTTAAGTCTCTTTGTCACTCAAATTTGAATAACATACAAGCCTGAATCTTTATAGCTCACCAACAAAAAGGTATCACATTTTGGTTTTCTTTTTTAGAAGTTAACATTTATGTACACAAAAAAAAGAAATAAACAAACCAAATGCGACATTCTCTTCTTCACCAAATAGAAAGTTTGGTATGCTTGTAGTGGAAGCAGACTTGAAGTTGTTTCCTTTTGAAACCCCTGAAAGAATATGCAACGTGTGTCATCGGACTCTAGCGACCCGAGAAAACAAGTACAAGCACAGTGATCACAAGTGCGACGGTGAATATCAAAGCCTGCAAAAAGAAAGCACAATTGGTACAGCTGATTTGTGAGGGAAAATTTTGAGGAAGGAGAATGCATTGGATCTGAGAGATGATACTCACAGCTATAGCAGAAGCAGCAAGACCAGATCTTTCACGTGGATCTCTACGGTAATAGTTTGTGAGATAGAGAAACGTGGCAAAGTACCAAGCAAATGGGAAGACGAATCCAAGAAGAAACCTAACAGAAAGAAAGATGTAAAAATGAATCTGCTTTCAGCAAGATAATGTACATCTACAAAACCGACAATAACTATAGAAACAAAAGAAAAAGAGGTTAGTGTCTCACGAGAACCATCCGATTCCACAACCAAAGCAAGGGAGTGGCTTATAGAAAAGTCCTAACTCAGTGTCTTCTTCCTCACCCTCATGGATTAGAGTATACTTGCCTTTCTTTTGTTCCTCTAGATCTGCTTAAACAATATTCCAAGGGATTATTCAACAGTTCACAATCATCATAATACAGAGATAGAGAGGACAAAGAACAAAAAATCCGTCAACATACTCTCGTTCATGGCGAAAGAATATGTTTATCAAACCGATTAAACTCCCCTGTCTCCAAGAAACCTAGAAAGAACAGATTTTTTAGCAATCTACCAGACATTTTCTGATGTCAAAAAGACAAAGCTGAGTCCTTTATTTTACAGATTTTCTAAAGCACCAGCCAAATGTCAAGCAGAGGAATTGGATACTGAAAATCTGAGGAACATTAATAACAACAACATCAAAGGACAAAATTCAGGAGAAATCTCTCAGGAAATGTTCATTCCCTGATTTTCAAAATTGTGAAGACCCAATACAAAAAAATAAAGAAGTCGAAAAGTCTGAGGGTTCCGAGAAGAAAGCAATCAAGAAAAACAAAACAAAACCCTATGAGAAAAAGGACGAATTTTTACGAGTAAAAATAAAAGAGAGGGAGAGGGAAATTTACCAGAAAATGCAAAAAGATCTTCAACGAACGATCGTAAGATAGAGAGAGGGAGAGATTGCCTGAGAGATTCGGGACCGTGACCTACGGGAAGAGAGATTCTTGCTTTCGTTGCGAAAACTTTTTTTTTTTTCTTTGGTTATTCTCAATTTTGTTCACATTTGATCATCCACGTAGCTCAACATTTTATGTTCTTTTTTTTTGCCACAGAACAAAACGGCAGTAAAAATTTGCTTTAAACATGTAAATAATTAGTTAAATAAATCAGCTAAATGCCTAAATTACAGAAATAAGTAAATAAGAAAAATATAGAAATAATACTAGTAACCAACGAATTTTTTAATCTTTGAACATTTTTTTTCTTTTTTGAATAAGGAGGAGGTTCTGGCTAAAGCCGCGATCCTGAGGACAGCATAAATACCGCAAACACCGGAATGAGACAGCATGCGACGTTTTATGAGTCGTTAGCGTTAGCATGCGAAAGATATATGCAAAGGTATTATCTAGGATTAACATAAATGTAAAATAGTTCTTAAACAAAAAACAACTACTCGATCAATGTTATTTTGACTAACAAAATCAATGATGGGGTTTATTTGGCATGATCACCCTAAAATCCAGTTACAGTAGAAAAGCTGAATCGTCCCCCTTATTTATTCCGAGAAACAAGATCTGTTTTAACTCAAAGATATAAGAAGAAAAAAAAACAGAGATTTAACGTACAAAACACAGATAAATCAAATTGGTACAGTGTTAAAACCAGATATATGCGAGATCAGAGACTCTTATGAGCTTTTGATGTGTTGTTTTGTCATTTGTGTGGTTCTTTCTCCTTTAGAGCAACATAGATTCAGGGTTCTCGATGTAGCCTTTGAATGCTTTCAACCATTCAGCTCCAATGGCACCTGCAGAAAGCAGCAGAATATTATATTTTATTCAATTTTAACAGTTTCATGGTGATGAATGTACGATGATAGAAAGCCGAATTACCGTCTACTACGCGATGGTCACAGCTCAGTGTTACAGGCATGTAAGAACCAAAGTTGAATTGATCTGGACCGTTACCAGGGACAACTCTCTTTTCAGCTGTTTTTTTTTTAAAGATTCAGACACATAACACGAATCGGTTACTCGATCTTTGGGAAGATAGTAACACTCTCTGTTCTGTAATGAGAGAGAGCTTACCAGATCCAACTGCTAGAATGGCGGCTTGAGGCGGATTAACGACTGCACAGAACTGCTTGATCCCAAATGGTCCTCCCAAGTTAGAGACCGTAAATGTTCCTCCCTAAGACAAACAGATTATTATTGCTTGATTTTTGTCGAGGGAGATAATTAGTGATTAGGTGAGTGAATTCTCTCACCTCATAATCTTCTGGCTTTAAGGTGTTTTCTTTTGCCTTTTGAGCCAACGACCGAACTTCTTCTCCAATTGTGGACAGACCTTTCTTGTCAGCATCCTGGAATCAAGAAATTGATATAATTCAGCAATCTGAAAGTTTGTGCAGCAGTGAAGTGGTAAACAAATTCATTGAGTGCTGTTTTGCACACACCTTCACAACAGGAACATACAGCCCATTTTCTGTCTGCACTGCGACGTTGATGTTTACGTTTTTAAACCTATAGAGAAAGGTTAAGATGTTTGCTAACCCAGAGATAATCAGAATTTTGTTGTTGATGTACTTACTGGCGGATGTAATCCTCAGTCCATGAACTATTGCACTGAGGAACTTTTCTGAGAGCTAATGCAGCAGCCTGAAACGCATGATAACATGTGATATTTTCAGAAGATCCATCGTCGTTCTTGGAAGTATACGCAAGCAAGATGTACCTTAACAACAAGATCATTGACAGATATCCGTTTCCCACCAGAAGCCTCTTGGAATGAATTGAGCTGACTCCTCAGACTGCATATACAAAAATCGCTTTGTTTAACTTACTCATAACAGCGACTCACGATACATCATCGGAAACTTAATACTTACCCCATTAGTTTGTCAACACATGCATCGACGGTTAAGTAATAGTGAGGGATAGTTTGCTTTGAGAATGCCAAACGTGAGGCTGTGACCTATCAAAAGTATACAGCCAAAGAGGTTTCAGAATCCTTGAACCTATTGGCTGGCTTACCGAACCCCGCAAGAATTATATCGGTTTTACCTTTCGTATCTGAGAATGAGGGATGTCAACATAGTCCAAAGCTGGAACCTTGGAATCAGTGGACTTAGATGGCTTCGCAGTTGCTTCTTTACCACTTGAAGCTGCACCATTAGAAGATGAGGATGGGTAAATACTGCAAACAGAGGCAAGAAAGGTCTGAAAGATAAAGCAACGGAAAGGAAGAGCCAAGGAGTAACTAATACCCAAGTAATCCTCGATATCTGCCTTCACTATCCGTCCTTCAGGACCTGTGCCTTTGATCCTTGAAAGAGGCACCTGATGTTTTAAAGGAAATGAGAAGATAAACTAAGCATGAAGATTAAGAATAAAATAATATTTTAGAACATTGTGAAAACTAACATTATTATCTTCAGCCAACTTTCTTGCAAGAGGACTAGCAAAAACACGATCTCCTGTGGGAGGTGTGCTAGGCTTGGAAGTCTTTGGTTCAGGAGACGATGATGGCTGTTCAACCTTCTCTTCCTTTGGTGGGGGAGGAGCTGGTTCTGCTTTAGGAGGAGTAGCATCAGCAGTAGATGATGGGGTGTAATCTTTGAACTTTCCAATGTCCTCTTCATCTTCAACTGTAATAGCAATTACCTACTTAAAGGAAAAAGATATTTGGCATGAGTTAAATAGTTCGAGTTCCCATTTCTACAAATGGACTGAGGATCCTAAAATCAATACTCCGAGTTCCAAGAGAAAACATGATAATTACATAACTCTACAGAAACCAGAAAATTTCCATACCTCCCCGACTTGAATTTCTTTAGACCCCTCTGCCTTTACAATCTTGGCGAGATAGCCATCTTCCATGCATTCCATTTCGACGGTTGCTTTATCCTAAGGAACATAGCTTATTTAGATTTATTTTCCCAGCATGAAGATAGAAATATGAAGATAACAATCAATCAATATAGACATTACAGTTTCAACTTCACAAAGTACTTCACCAGGAGCAACTTTATCACCTTCTTTTTTCAGCCACCTGGCAATGTTACCCTGAGAATTGGCAAGATAGCATATTAGAACATAAAGATAAACGAACTTAAGTTTTGATTAAGAGATAAATGGAAGTGTATACCTCAGTCATTGTTGGCGAGAGGGAAGGCATCCCGATCTCCTGGTGAGGAGGCAGATCTGAAACACATTTTCAGAAATTCTAGGTAAAATTAACCAATCTAAAGCCCATAGCATTTAGCATCCAGTTACACAATTTTAGCACAACGTAACAGTCTTGGGAGGGAGTTTGCGATGAAAGCCTCAAATCGTTGTTACATAATTAGCATAATTAGCTTATGTAAAACCAGATCTATGGCAATGCAAAACAGATTAACCTTAGCTAAATTCGAGTCGGTGAGATGTATATAAGAGCAAGGTGGAGACTACAAGAGTAAAGTGTGAGCAAAAAAGTGCATAAAACAAAAGTAAAGCTATCGCTGACTACCTGAACCCGATGAAAATCCTCTAACTGATTGCATCGAACTGGTATGCAGCAAAAAAATAAGCTTATAGTTAGGACAAACAGGTATCAATACAAGCAGGCAGCAAAGGCTAATGTACATCCGGAACATAGAGTAGGAGTAAGAGATTAAACCATGAAAATTCTTTTCCATGTCTTGGCCTTCCCATTGTACTGTTTAGTTTTGTTTTTGTAGATGAAAAACTAATAGCCACCGGAACCTATACAACAGAATTTAAAACATCAAGACCACACAAAACTCAATAGGTTTCTGCAAATTAACATGGCTCAATGAGAAGGGACACTGCTATAGAGCTACATAGAACAGTAAGGACTTACAGTGTCGGTGCTATATTTAGAAATCCTCTCCACTGGGGAAAAACCAAGACGGGCACTGAAAGTATCTGAAGAACATAACAAAACAGACTGAAGCGACAAGCAGAGAGTCTCAATGTCTCATAGGTACTAGCTACAGGATCATACAAAAATACAATTGGACAATTTTTTTACTTCAGGAGGATAACATTACCTTCTCTGCTTAGAGGAGCCCGATTAGTGTTCGAGAAATAGCGGACTGTGGCAGCATGCTCACGCCGCAGTAAAGTGGAAACATCCTTCAACTGTCAAAAAATTACACAAACACCAAGTGGCGTTAGAGATCTCACTCATCTCCCAGAAGCAAGTTGAGCCATAAATCACAAATGATTCCAGGTTGATCACAAAGCTCTTCAATTTAGCTAACGCAAAGCATTCTAATAATACCAAATTATCAAAAAATCAGATGAACCACAATTCAATTGAATCTCGAAACCAGAAACACAATACGTCAAACCCAATCCGGACAACCATCATTTACACCGAACGAATGTGCATAGGATCGCTGAAGAACATAAAAATGATCGGAGAAAATGGAATCGAGACACAGTTACCTTCTTAGAATGATTGATGATACGTGACGCATAAGCCATTGGTGAGTAATCGGAACTGCTTCAGACGATCCGATTTTCGTGACGCACCTCCGTGTGTGCTGTAACCAAGGAAGAAGAAACCTTTGGTTCGACGACTGTTAGGGCTTTTTTTGTTTTTTTTTTGGCTTGTTTCGCGAAATTAAATTTTAATTTTATTTTGGATTAGTTGCTCTCAGCTTTCGGATTTACCAAAAGACAAGCGAGAATCTGCGATCCGAGCCAGTGACTGGTGAGACCGTGAAAGAGAAAAGAGAGGGTGGCTCTTTATCATCGAACCATATCGTACGGTCGAGATTAAAGTTGACTTTGAGTTTTCTCATAGGCCTCGACGCTAGCCCATTAAAAGCAATTAATGGGCCAATCGGAATAGTAAAGCTTTACTTTATGGTCTGGTTCAGTGTAGATGTATTCGAGGACCGGTTCTTTGGCTTTTGAGTAAGAGTACGGAAATGTAATTTCTTTCACTGACGATAATTTGGTCAATTCTGTTTAGTATTGAGGTTAAAGTATGTTTCTGCTTGTAAAAGAAAACAAATGTGTTTACTATCTTTTTTGGTAAAAGTTTGCTAATCATGTTGAGAAATTTAAATGTGTGTTTGCTTATTTAAGACCATGAGTGTGTCCTTTGCCAAAGAAGAATTTCGAACGGTCCAGATTAGATTTAATCCTGATTAGACTAAGATTTGGTTTTTATTTTCGAAATGGGCCTCGATTGTAAGCCCAATAAGAAGCATATGATTAGGCACTTTCCGAATGCTATATATATTTCGACTTGCGTTTTGATTTTTTTTCAGAAGAAAATAAAGAGGAGTAGAAAAGCGGGAATACTGAACTAGGGTATTCTCCGGTGGACTGATAAGAGACGACGGAGAAGACGAGTGATTTTCCGAAACCCGAGTGTGCTTTGAAATATATACTCACAGATTTAGAGGTATTGAGAGAGTTAAGAGCGAAGGAGAATTTGATTCGTGAGAGATGGTAGGATATCGGAGGAATAAATGGACGGCGGAAGAAGAAGGAGCACTTCTCGCCGGAATATGCAAGCATGGTGCCGGAAAGTGGCTGAATATCTTAGAAGATCCCGAGTTCAGGCCTCAACTTCTCTATCGCTCTAACATTGACCTCAAGGTATCGAAATTCCCAAATCCGCGTTTGTCTTCTTCCAAGTAAATCGATTTTTTTTTTTTTTGGGAAGTCAATTTGAGATTTATTCCGTGGATAATCGAAATTATATCTCTAATGTTGTTGTTAACTCTTTTTTGCGCAATTCCAAGGATAAATGGCGTAATATGAAGATTAAGGAGAAATCAATGACACAGACGCTCGATTCAGCTTCCATTTCAATTTCTCCCTGCAAAGACTTCGCCTTTTCTAAATAGTAGTTCATCAGATATGAGCAACGAATGTAGGTTTTTGTTACATTTGGAAATTTCATTACATTCCATGAGCTAGTTATCTAAATTTCTTGCTAGATTTCTTTCCTGTTTGGATGCAAAAGCATACTTTTTTATCACAACGGATAGAAACTGTGGTTATTTTAGATAATTTATCTCTGCAAAACAATCTAATTCCATTGGACTGTAAATCCATTTGTTTCTTGAGGTAGATCTAGCGCTTGTATTTCTCAATTCGAACTCAAACCAGGGGCTCTTCATACTCATGAGGAAGTTGTGAAATGCCATTGTCTGATCATTATTTGGCATTTTTTTTGTATAAAAACCGAATTAACAGACAGTTTATTATAAATATTTTCAAAGATGTAATGTGCTTAGAACTTAGAGCATGTCCATCAGGGGCTCTGGCACAGGTTTTTAGACGAAATATAATAAAAAAAATAAGAAAAATGGTAGAGGTTCATGGGCCAAGCTCTTTCTGACGAACCTGAAGAGGCAGTCTCTTCACACGTGGCACATTCTGATTGGTTCAGAAAAATAATTTTCGAATTTAAAAAAAAAAAACAAAACAAAAAAAAATATTATTTTATTCTGATGAACCTCATTTTTAGGAGTTCACTGATGGACATGGTCTTAGTTATAAAGAACTTCTCTTCTTTATTGATTTAGAAACTTCTCAAAACTAAATCACTCTTTCTTAGTCTTAATGAACAACTCTCCTTAGACTCTGTTTATATAGATATTAGCTTCTCCTAATTCTATATGATAAAGGAAATATAAAACCTTATCTAGATATTAAACTATATCTAAAACCTTATTAAATAAATCTTTAAGTTTATCTTTTAGGCAACTTCCTAAAGAAATAACTTCCTAAACAAGTTAGGAACTATCCAACATTCTCCCCTTAATTCCAATTTGAATTTTGGGTAGAATGATGTCTTCAACTCCAAGTAAACTCCTCATCTCTTTGAACTTCACTCTTGCTAGTGCCTTGGTGAGGATGTCTGCCTTTTGTTCCACGCCTGGAATGTGCTCCACCTCGATCTGGCCATTCTCCACACACTCTCGGATGAAATGGTACCTAGAGAGGATGTGTTTGCTTTTATAGCTGACTTGTTGTCCACTCTTAGTACAACCTTCTCATTATCGACACTTAATATCTCTTTTAACAGCTCCTGAAGCCATATAGCCTGCTTAGCCGCCTCTGTAGCTGCCATAAATTCTGCTTCACATGAAGATAAGGCGACAATGGCTTGCTTCTGAGAAGTCCAAGTGATCGGCGATGTCCCAAAGTAGAATACATGACCTACAGTACTTCTTCCATCATCTACATCGATATTATGACTACTGTCACTATATCCTGTGATCTTGCTAGAACCATCTCTCTTGAAGTGTAAACCCAAGCTAGTAGTTCCTCTTATATATCTCATTATGCGCTTGATGGCCTGCCCATGTGATTCCCTTGGACTTTGCATATACCGACTTAAACTCCTACTGCAAATGCTAAGTCTGGCCTTGTGTGCAAGAAATACCTTAAGCATCCAATTGTTTTTCTATACCGAGTTGCATCGATCTCAGCTTATCTTTCTGCTTTTGAAATCTTTAGATTTGCTTCCATTGGTACATGAGATAAGTTACATGTATCCATCTTTGTATCAATGAGGATCCCTTGAGCATAACCTTCTTGTTTTATTCTGATCCCATCTGCTCCTTGAATCACTTCTATACCGAGGTAATATGTTAATTTCCCAAGATCTGACATCTCAAATCTCCTTGACATATCTTCCTTGAATTGTTTTATGACCTTCATTGAAGTTCCTGTCATAAACAAATCATCATCATAGATTGCCACAATTAAGATCTCCTCCTTGCTTCTTTTAACATATACTGATGGCTCCTTTAAGCACTTTTTGAAGTTCATGTTCTTTAGAACTTGATCCATTGATGTTCCATGCTCTAGGGGCTTGTCGTAGGCCATATAGTGCTTTATGAAGTTTGTATACTCGATCTTCTTCTCCTTTTTTCACAAAGCCTTCTGGTTGGCACACATAGACTAATTCTTGTAAATCACCATTAAGGAATGCTGTCTTGACGTCTAGGTGGTGTATTTCCCAGCCTTTAGTCGCTGCAAGGGCTATTAACAGCCTTATGGTTTCGATTCTTGCTACAGGGGCAAAGACTTCTTCGAAATCAACTCCTTGTTGCTGTACATACCCTTTTGCGACAAGTCTTGCCTTATACTTGTTCACCGAGCCATCAACATTCTTCTTTATCTTATAGATCCACTTTAGTCCAATAGGTTTAGCTCCTTTTGGTCTTTTGATAAGCTCCCATGTCTTGTTCCTTGAGATTGAATCCAGCTCAGCTTTCATAGCCTCACATTTAGATGTTTTGTTTCACCATAGTTCTCAGGTTCTCCATCAATAGTGAAGAGTAACATTTCACCCTCATGTTCTGCAATCATCACAAAGTCATCTAGATATCTTGGCTTTTGAACTACTCGATCTGACTTTGTCGTTATTGGCTGCGATTCATCTCCTTGGTTTGTAACTCGAGCATTGTCCTCTGTTTCTTCTTCCTGCACTTGTTCCATAGGCTCGTGTTCTTGGTGATCATTGTTATGATCTTCCTCATATCCAGCGCCTGCGTAAACATGTTGTGGAAGCTTGAACATCCCTGGTTCTCCATTGGTTTCTTCTTGTTCCGATGACCAGTCCCATGCTTTCTGCTCATCAAAGACAACGTCTCTGCTTACAGTTATCCTCCTTGCTACTGGATCATAGAGTCTGTAGGCTTTGGAACCCGGCTCAGTTCCTAAGTTGATTACTCTCTTTGATCTTTCATCTAGCTTCTTGAAGTGTGGCCCATTGATCTTGGCGTGAGCAACACAACCAAAAACCCTTAGATGCTCGATGTTGGGTTTCTTGGAAGTGAAGCTCTCATAAGGAGTTTGATCATTCAAGGCTTTGTAGGTATCCGATTAATGAGATAGGTTGAATGGCGTACTGCTTCTCCCCACATCCTGTTCGGAATCTTCATAGCCATAAGCAAGCTCCTTGTCATCTCCATCAGAGTCCTATTTCTTTTTTCGACAACACCATTTTGTTGTGGTGTGTAAGGTGCAGTTAGGTGTCTTTGTATTCCATTCTCTTCGCAGAATAGATTAAACTCTGTTGAGGTAAACTCTCCTTCTCTATCGGTGCGTTATGTTCTGATGGCCAAACCAGTTTGTTTCTCAACCCCTTCTTTGAACTTTTTGAACCGATCGAATGCTTCACTTTTTTTCTCTCATGAGTATGGACTACATGTACCTTGAGAAGTCATCGATCAGAACAAAAACGTATCTGTTGTTGGCTGGTGTTGGTGGTGATATTGGTCCGCATAAATCCCCATGAATTAGCTCCAAGACCTGTGTTGCTCGATATGTAACCTTAGTTGGGAACATCCTCCTAGTTTGTTTCCCTGCTTGGCATATATCGCACACCTTTTTCTCATGTATCACTTGGGGCATTCCTCTAACCATATCCTTGTTGACCATATTTTTCATGACGCCAAAGTTGACATGACTTAGCCGCGAATGCCAGGTCCAAGTGATGTCATCGCCTTGTACTTGGAGACATCTTGGAAACCATACTTCCATCGGTGTTTTGTAAAGTCTGTTTGCTGATCTTTTGACTTGTACAAGCACCCTTCCCTGTGGATCTCTTAGTGTTAAGAAGTCTCCCTTCATGTTTACTTCACACCCATGTTCTGTTGCTTGTCCAAGACTTAGTATATTATGCTTCAAAGCTGGGATGTAATAGATATCTTTGAGTGTTCTTCTTTCTCCTGTTTTGCCCAAAAAGATGATATTACCCTTCCCTTCTATATCGACATAAGATCCATCTCCAAACTTGACTCTGCCTCTGATCTTTTCATCTAAATTGCAGAAGAATTCTTTGTTTCTTGTCATATGATTGCTCGCTCCATTATCTAGATACCAAACGCTTGCATCAGTCTTGGTATCATAGTTTCTTGGGATCACTTTGTCTTCGTTTAAGAATACCACTTCATGGACGTACAGGGCATCGGCTTCCTCTGTCTCATTTATGTTTGACTCTTGGCTCTTGTTCTGTTTTTCAGGGCAAAGTGACGCAAAGTGACCAGGCTTGTCACATCTCCAACATATGACCTTAGATCGATCTTTCTTCTGCTTTTGATTTGTTTCACCGGGTGCTCCTCCTTGGTTTTGGCCATTGGATCTCCCTTGACCCCTGCCTCTGCCTCCTCGAGATTTACCACGGCCACCTCCTACCTCCTCGGTTATTTTGCTTGTTGTTGCTCCACATAAGCTTTCCTAGATCCTCCTTTTGAGCTTCTTCTCCTATTCGTTCTTCATAGGCTTTTATCCTCCCAACTATCTCTCCAAAACTTGTTGCGTTTAAGTCTATAACTTGTTTTAGGGAAGCCACGATCTGAATGAACTTGTTTCGGGGAAGAGCTTTCAAGAATTTCTTTACTAGTACTGATTCTTCGATGGTTTTTCCTAGTGAGGCTGACTTGGATGCCAAACCTGAGATTTTTCCTGAAAAATCATCGATAGAATCAGTGTTGCTCATTGTTAACTTGTCGAACTCTGCCATCAACGTCTGTTGCCTTGCTTCTTTCACTCGATCTGCTCCTAGATGTCGCAACTTGATAGCATCCCAGACTCCTTTTGATGTAGTTTGCTCTCCTAGTTGAAGTATGAGCGTTTCGGGTATAGATTGGAACAGTAGGGCTATCGCAATGTCGTTCTTCTTTGCATCCGTAGACCCTGGTTCGATTGTGTCCCATACTTCATATACCCTTAACATAACTCTCATCCTCATCGTCCAAACTGTGTAGTTTTTCGATGTTAGCATAGGACATTGGATTGCTGCTGATCTGATATCCTTTGAACGTGGTTGAACCAGCTCGTCTCCCATCGTCGTGTTGCTTATGATCTTTGTTTAGGTATTCCCTTAGGCTTCGTCTTTGCTCTGATACCAATTCAAAGATGTAATGTGCTAAGAACTTAGTTATAAAGAACTTCTCTTCTTTATTGATTTAGAAACTTCTCAAAACTAAATCACTTTTTCTTAGTCTTAAAGAACAACTCTCTTTAGACTCTGTTTATATAGATATTAGCTTCTCCTAATTTTATATGATAAAGGAAATATAAAATCTTATCAAGATATTAAACTATATCTAAAACCTTATTAAATAAATCCTTATGTTTATCTTTTAGGCAACTTCCTAAAAAGATAACTTCCTAAATAAATTAGGAAGTATCCAACATATTTATCTTTAGCTAAATTCGAGCCGGTGAAGATATATGTAATGAGAGACTATGATGATGACATTTTGAACGGTCGAGATTTGACCACTCATAATGAGCCTAGACCCATTAAAAGGCTGAATATCAGGGACTTCTGAATGCTACGATTTGCAGTTTTTATTTTATGCAGAGAGAAAAAAAACAAAAACAAGTAGAGAAGCGGGAATACAACTGAATTAGGGGAAATAGGAATCTATCTTCGTCTTCGATGACTGATATAAAAGTAGCCAATAGACGACGAGACGAAGAAGACGACTGATTTGTTTCTGTAGCGTACGATTGTATATCAAGAGCGAAGGAGAATCGGATTCGAGAGAGAGACGACGAGGGGTTTCGAGATGGAAGAACATCGGAAGAATAATAAATGGACCAAGGAGGAAGAAGAGGCGCTTGTCGCCGGAATAGCCAAGTACGGTGCCGGAAAATGGAAGAAAATTTTAGTTGATCCCGAATTCGCCCCTCAACTTTCAGGTCGCGATAACATTAACCTCAAGGTTAGTCGAAATTCCCAAAACCCCCTGTTCGTCTTCTTCCATGGAAAATCGAATCAAGATTTATTTATGTGGTTGATCGAAAGATTTTTTCTCCCCCATGTTGAATTTCTGTTTTGTTGTTTACTCTTCTTGCGCAATTCCAAGGATAAATGGCGTAATCTGACAAAGACACAAGCACTCAATGAATCTTCTCCAAATAATTCATCGGATATGAGCAATGAATCTAGGTTTGTTAAATTTGGAGATTCTTTATTGGAATGTTCTTTAGTTCATGTATTGTTGTTCTCTAGGTTTATATTGTTCTGACGTTGATTTGGCATCCTCTCCTTCACCTTGTTGGCAGGTTTGATGCAATGGTTTTTGAGGCTATTTCAACAATCAATGATGAAAATGGTTCTTATTACAGTAGGATTCTCAGCTTTATCGAGGTAAAGAGGATATATCTAAGTCTTTGTTTTTCATGGTTTTTATATGACATTCCATGAGTCTGTTATCTAAATCTCTTGCTTGAGGTTTTTATATGGTTTCATGAGTCTCGTTTCTTTGGATACCAAAACTAAGTTTTGACCTGGAGTTGATAGATTGTGTATCCTGGTCTGAAGTGAGTCCATTACTGGTCATAACGGAGAATATGGAAATTTAAGATAGTTATCTGATCAATCATTTGGTAACCTCTAAGGTTGTAGATATATGTAGTGTGTAGTTTACCTCATGTTCTCTTAGTCTGGCTTCTCTATTGCGTCCTGGTTCAAGCTTCGAAATGGATCGATTGCACATCTCTCATATTTACATTCAATCCACAATATCATAGCATCAATAATATGATTACATTGGATCCCAGCGGGAAGTTATTCTTTATGGTTGATTAATTGCAGGAACGACACGAGGTACCACAAAACTTTGGGAAACTGTTGAGTGACAGCCTGAGACGCCTTGTTTCTCAAGAAAAACTCGAAAATGTAACTGCTTTTCTCCATATCCTCATTTATCGATTCAATACATAACAAGAATCAATTGGATCTGTTCATACTAATGTTAAAGCTGTGTTATATTATCTGATAAACTCATACATTACTTGCAAATGCAGATACTAAACCGATACAAGATCTCCAAGAGGAAAGCAACAACACAAATCCTGAATCCAAATGATTCTGTGGTGTCAACAACATCAAAAGTAACACAAGAGATAGACTCAGCAGTAGAAGCAAAACGAATCAAGGAGTTTGTAGAGGATATCGACGTAATCGTGCTGCACTGCTTTTTTACTATATGTTGCTCCTTCAATTTATGGTATCATAGCATCAAAAGATAGGACTACACTGGATCAGTCTCAGTTGGAAGTTATTCTCTGTGGCTAATCAAATGCAGGAATGGCGCGAACAACCGCAAAACTTTAGGGAGTTTGTGAATGAGATCCTCACACTTCTCATTTCTCAAGGCAAACTGGACAAGGTTTTTTTCTAATGCACAGTTATGTTATTGATGCGTCTTCCATAATAACAAGAATCAATCAGAAATGCTCATCTAAGCTTGCAAACGCAGGAATTAAATCGTTACAGGATCTCAGATTTGGAGAAAAAAGTGCTCGAAGCAGCACCAGAAGTTGTAGCAATGAAACTTGCAGAGTCAGATTACAGATGTTATATCGCAGTAGAGGCAGTCGAAAAAGAACAGGAAATACAGAAGTTGATAGACGAAAACGACACCCTGCTTCAACTATGCTTACAAATACACGAACAATGTAACCTCAAGAACCGACATTGCACATCAATACATCACCATCATAAGCATCATTGTTATTATCATAATTGTCTTTTGCTATGTTACTTGCAGGTTCCCTTGGAAAAGAGGTTCTTAAAGAGATTTAGTAGACACAATCTTAAATCAAGTAAATAGCGTTACTTTCTGGTTTGGTTCAAAGTAGATAATATTCGTGGACCGGTTCTTTGATATTGAGTAAGAGAATAGATATAGTGAGATTTCGTTTGACTACCTATTTGGTGTTTTTCGGCTCTGTTATCTTTTACAGTTTTTAGATGGATGTTTAACTTTCTGATTGTAGTGGGAAAACTAATGTTCACTGTTTTGTTAATAAATAAAAGTGTTTAGCATTTAGTATTCAGATTTTTTTTCTCTTTAAAATGATGTGTCTTTGAGTCTTGAGAATGGTAAGTAATAAAGCATTAAAAGTTGTGAGGAAGCTGTGAGATAATGCCATTGACTGATCATTATTTCTCGCATAAAAACCGAATCGACAGAGAGCTTTATCAAGCTTTATCTTGTGTGGAACTTTTGCCATATTCATGAAGCAACTCTTGTACAGAAGCAAGCTTCATCATCATTATCATCATCATCACTCTCTTTCGCTTCGTCTCTTCCAGGTGCTCTTGGCAAAAAGGTTATCTTACGGTAAACAGCCTTTGACTAGTGTTTACAGGATAGTGAACCAAGCAAATAGCTTTACTTTCTGATTTGGTTCAATTGATATATATGTTTAAGAATCGGTTAAAGTGTAGACAGGTGATGTCATTGGACATACTAACAATTTTTTGTGTTCTGGTTGTAGTGGGAAACTAAAACTAATTTTAATGTTCACTGCTCTGTTAATTGTTTTGATTTAAATTTTTAGATATTTTTGTTTTTTGTCTAATAGATGATGTGTCTTTGAGAATTCAGAATGGTTTGCTACGTCATAAAGCATCAAAAGGTGTTGGAAAGGCTTAAGCTTTCCAAAAGAAAATTTGGTTTCTCTTTTCTTTTCTTCTCTTTTTTGTATAAAAAATTATTCATATTTCTAGTTGAAAACAACAACATTACGGTTTATTGATCGCGTGTAGGATTCAAGTCCCTTTTGACATTTTTTGATTATGGTGTAAAATAAATTCATAACGATATATTTCTTGTTATTTCCCAATGAATTAAGGAAATTATCAGAGAGGTGGAAAATTGAAAAAGGGAAGAGGAAAGTAGGGGGCAAAACTGGAAATTCCTAAATGGAATAGGAGAACAATTCCTAAGAGGAAACCCTAAGGCCACAGAAATAAAAGGGACTATATAAATTGTCAAACACGTTTTATTCAGTCTCTCTCTACCTCAAATTTTTTTTGCTCCCTCTCTCTCTTTATCTCTCCCATCGGTTCAGATCCGAGTTCGGGAGATTTCAAGCACTCACAAAGTCTTTCACTTTTGCTCTCAAGCTTTCATCTCTCTTCTTCAACTCAAGCTACAGGTTTGGAAATTTCTATTTTTTGGTTTCTTTCTCTGCGTTTGGTTCCTTTTTAGATGAACGATTGGATCTTCTCTGTCTTAATCTCTTTGCGATGGATTTCGCTCGGATTCCGTCTGGGTCGATTTAATAGTTTTTTTTCTCCTTTTGATCTGTAAATCTGTGCTTCGTTTATGAGTCATCGTTACAGGAATCAATTAGTGGTTGTAACCTTTCAAATCCCTAATTTTATCTCGATTTGATTTTGAGCTGATGATGATAACGAGCTTCGATATTAATAATTGCTTTGATTTTGAACACGGAAGTTGTTATATGCTTTCCTGGAGAGATAGATATTTGAATGGTATCTATGATATTGGATGAACCATAAGCCTGTTTCTCTCCTGACATCTAATTATATTCAGATATTAATGCTTGTATTCCTCTCTTTATGGAATTTCAAGTTTGGCTATTCTGTTACATTCGACCCTTTTTGCAGAAATTATTTGTTCCTTATCTTTAAGTTGTTTTGGCTTCTTTTATATTTAAAGTTGTTATTTTTCGTGTGTTTGTTCTAGTCATGGCAGGAGCGGCACCAGAAGGTACACAGTTTGATACTCGTCAGTTTGACCAGAGGCTTAATGAAGTGTAAGTCTGAAGATCTATACTTTTAAACACTTGTTTCCTCTTCTGTGATTTGATGTATTTGGCTGATGTTATTGCTATTTGGGTGCTACAGACTCGAGGGACAGGATGAGTTCTTCACCTCGTACGATGAGGTCCATGAGAGCTTTGATGCCATGGGTTTGCAAGAGAACCTTCTTAGGGGTATCTATGCTTATGGTAAGTAACATATTTACGTATTTTGTGTTTTTTTGTTGGGATTCCTGTTAACTCAATCTCATGCGTGCCCTCCCGTGATTGATTGGTTTTACTAGGTTTTGAAAAGCCTTCTGCTATTCAGCAAAGAGGAATCGTACCTTTTTGCAAGGGTCTTGATGTGATCCAGCAGGCACAGTCTGGTACTGGAAAAACCGCCACTTTCTGCTCTGGCGTCTTGCAGCAGCTTGACTTCACCCTTGTCCAGTGCCAGGCTCTGGTTTTGGCTCCAACCAGGGAGCTTGCTCAGCAGATTGAGAAGGTTATGCGTGCTCTTGGAGATTACCTTGGTGTCAAGGTTCATGCCTGTGTTGGTGGAACCAGTGTCCGTGAGGATCAACGCATTCTCCAGGCTGGTGTTCATGTTGTGGTTGGAACTCCTGGCCGTGTGTTCGACATGCTTCGAAGGCAATCTCTTCGTCCTGACTGCATCAAGATGTTTGTTCTCGACGAAGCTGATGAAATGCTCTCCCGTGGTTTCAAGGATCAGGTGTGTTGATAGTTTATTTACCAGTTTTGAGTTTTTGTTGCCTTGTTTGGTGAAATCCTGATCTGTTTCTCTGATTATTCTGTTGCTTTTCTTGTGAATTTCCAGATCTATGACATCTTCCAGCTTCTCCCACCAAAGATTCAGGTCGGAGTTTTCTCAGCTACGATGCCGCCAGAAGCTCTCGAGATCACAAGGAAGTTCATGAGCAAGCCAGTGAGAATCTTGGTGAAACGTGACGAGCTCACGCTTGAAGGTATCAAGCAGTTTTACGTGAACGTGGAGAAGGAAGAGTGGAAACTCGAAACTCTCTGTGACCTCTATGAGACTCTAGCCATTACTCAGAGTGTCATCTTTGTCAACACTCGTCGCAAGGTGGACTGGCTCACAGACAAAATGAGAAGCCGTGACCACACAGTCTCAGCAACTCACGGAGACATGGACCAAAACACAAGAGACATCATCATGAGAGAATTCAGGTCTGGTTCATCCCGTGTTCTAATCACGACCGATCTCTTGGCTCGTGGTATTGATGTGCAGCAAGTCTCTCTGGTCATCAACTTTGACCTCCCAACTCAGCCGGAGAACTACCTTCACCGTATCGGAAGAAGTGGAAGGTTTGGGAGAAAAGGTGTGGCGATTAACTTTGTGACTCGTGATGATGAGAGAATGCTTTTTGATATTCAGAAATTCTACAATGTGGTTGTTGAGGAGCTTCCATCAAACGTCGCCGATCTGCTGTGAAGAAGAAAAGAAAACCACCGTTGTTCGCCGGAGAAGAAGAAAAGGTTACTTGTTTGCAGGTTGCTTATTTGATTTTTGACCCATCATTATCATCTCTCTCTTTTTTCATTTTCTAGTATTCACCAACTCTTTCGAACATATGTCTTTTCTGACCAATTTTCTTTTTATTCTCAAGCAATTTTTATTTTTCTGTTGTATGATACCCACAAATCTTTTTCTCAATAGGTGTCGTTTTAATATTTTATTGGTATTAGTAACTTATCAATCTTAGCGATTGAGCTAACTTGTGTATTGGTTTTGAGCTATATTTGGACTATCTCAGTGGGCCCAAAAAAGATTGCAGCCATCTCATTGGGCCGAAAAAGATCGCAACCACGGGCTCGTTACGAATGTTAGTGGGCTAAAAACAATATACATCATTTCTTTTTCCCCTGTAAATTGTTTTTGTAAAATATGTTCGTGCATGTTCATTTGTCAAATAGATGCGTTTGGGAGAAAAAAAGGTATTGAGTATCGTTTTTAGTTTAACTAATACACACACACACAAAAATAAGAATTAGAGGAATACAAAGTAGACACACCATAAGTAATAGAAAAGAAATAATTTCTAGAAGAAAAAGGAACTATTTGTTATACTGTTGTAATCAGTAATCAAATCTTTTTTTTTTTCAATTAGTACTAGTGTACACACAAACACAATACAACATTCTCCTCTTTCTTTTCTACCTTTTTCCAATTATATAAACGATTTGAACAGTGAAAAACCAAAAAATATAGAAAACTGTTTATTTCTTCATCTATCTTCAATCCAAATTTAGAAAACAATAAGGAGTTAGACAAAACTTACTTGGTCTCAATTCAAGTCTGTTGTGGGTTTGAAGTTATATCATTAGACGAAGTCCCGCTTATGACACTTAACACCGAATGTTTCCTCTGAAGCTTCCCTCTTAGCTGTCTGATCTTAGCATCGACCCGAGCCGTAAACCCAATCTTTGTCTTCTCCCTAGCCTTGGACTTCTCTCGTTTCCACATTCGTTCGTCCTCTAAATCGATCTTGAAATGCTTGATCTCTTGTATAATGTGATGGTCAAGAGGGTTCACTGATCTTTGGTATGAGATGTGAAACAAGTAAGGAAGTGTTGTGGCGGCTATGACCAGTAGTGAGGTAAGCCAGAAGATCGGTGCAGGCGCTAGAGCCTCGTCAAGCATGTGAAAGATGTTACCAGAGAGTTTTGGTGGTAACATACCGTAAAGGGCGAGGAAGATGTACCAAGCTCCTATGCTTCCCCAAATCATTACGTGTTGGATCCAAGTAAAGTGGCTCATTGTTAGAGCAATTTGAACATTTACTGCCCAAATGATGCAAGTGAACATGGCGGTTCCCATCGCGTTCATGTCTGCGGTTTGGCCATCAGAGCGGAATGATTGGACATGAAAGATTCCGAGGTTGAGTGTGAAGATAACTATGGATGCGTAGACTCCATTGCCCATCCATCCGAGGATTCTGTACCAGTCGAAGAATAGGTTCTTGGGACCTTGTTGATACAATGCAGGGAACTAGGGAAAGATAAAAAAAAAAAGGAAAAAAGTGAATCAAAAGACGAAGAAAAAATGTTTGGTTTTGATGTGAAGATGATGGACAGAGGATTAACCTGTAAGCAGACATCAGACGGAACATCTTGTTCGAAAACTCCGAGAGAAATGACGGGGAGAGAAGTGAGAACAACGTTGAAGAGTAATAAGTAGGAGTCATTGTATATTGATTGACCAGAGAACCCGGTAAAGGCTTCGAAGTAGAAGAGAGTTAGGCCAAACGTTATGTTCTTGTAGAAGAAATAGCAGATCTGTGAAAACAATAATTACCAGTCAAGATCTTTTTTATATATTGTCTGGTGATATATCCATTATTGAAATGCATATATTACCATTTGGGCTATTCTTTTGTAGCACCAGTGTCCGTGGACAACAAGTAGTCTCTCCAGAAACCGAAACTGGGCTATGGAGAAGTCACTTGCCATTACAGCCTGCAAAGACAGAAACGGGTTTTTGTCAGAACAACTGGCGAAAATTAAGTATGTTTCATTGCATTGAAGATAAGTTTAAGCACCTGCATGCCTTCAACGCCACTGATGCCAACACCAATATCAGCTTCTTGAATCATTCCAACATCATTTGCACCATCACCGATTGCTAAAGTTGTCTTCCCTGTTCCTTCTTTAGCTAGCCTTGTTACCTGAAGAACCAAAGATAAACAATATATGGTCCATGTGATGTTCTTGGATGCATTTAGTTCAAGGAATTCTAATCATTGAATAAAAAAACATTTGTTAAGACTTATTGGATTCTTCGTACAAGTGCTTTCTGTTTAGGAGAGACACGACAGCATATTACTGATGCACAGTCAACTGCAAGTGCAAGAAACTGATACTTGACATCATCCTTCAAAGCATATGTAAGTGTCTTCCCATCAATGATCAAAGCAAACGCTGCATGTGGATCCTTTTCTATCTTGATCATCTGTGAGGCATTTGTGATCTGCATCAAAATGCTCTCTTTTGCAGCCTGAACATTATAGAGTTTATCACATCAGATATGCAACATTCTTCTGCAACAATAATTTAAATTTCTCAATAGTATTGACATAATACATACAGCTTCAGAGTCTTGTGACGATTCCTCTACATTATTAAATGAAATGGATATCTGCTTCATACCCTGTCGAAGTAAACTGCAGGCGTATCTGCATTTGGCCAACCAAATAATTGAGTCTACTTAGTCTTAGGGGAGAATCTGTTCGGGGGAAAAAAAATTAGTTTCAGGGTCTGTGATATCAGCAACAAATAAGAACAAACCCTATGTTTATTGCCGTCTCCATCTTATCTCCTGTCAAAACCCATATCTTGAGACCAGCTTGGGCAAGGTTATCTATGCATTGGGGAACCTGAAGTGAACTACAAACAGTAAGCTGAAAGGAATTTTCGAAACTTGAGTAATTGATAATCACAATGAACTATGCTGCTGCATACCCCTTTTTGCAGTTTGTCCTCCACAGCAGTAGCTCCAACAAGGATCAATTCCTTCTCCATCATATCTGATACTTTCTCGAGCATTTCATCTCTATCAGCTCCAACTGAAGTTTTGGCTTTGTGAAACTCACTGTTCCATGCCGAATACTCGGCTTCATCCAGCTTTCTATAACCGAGTGCCAATGTACGTAAACCTGCTTCACCGTATTCATTCAAGTGCTTGGAAGTAGCTCCAAGATAATCTTTTCCTTTCTTTGATAACCGGTCAAATATAATGCTGCAATAATTGAAGAAAAATCATTAAATTGCTTAGAGGAAGTGACAACTGACTTGAAGTTATGCAGCCAAACCTGTCAGCCCCTTTACAGAGAAGAAGAATCTGCCCTTCCTCATCTCGGACAATGGCAGACATTCTTTTTCTTTTGCTAGTAAAGTCTAATAGATTCAATATTTTGTATTCTCTGTAAAATAACCACCTCATGATTAGAGATCTATACGCAGGAATCAAAGGAAAAAACTATTGAAAGATCTGCAGAATATCACCTACGACATATTAATTGATTAAGTTACAGCCTTACCTATCAACTGGCTGGCCTGAAGGTGAAATCCGTTCAGCAATAAACACACTTGATTGAGTTCTCTTGGTAAACTCAAAACCAAACTCCCTAGCGGCAACAAGGAAAGCAACTTCATCAGGAGACTCAGCTTCATAAGTACACTTTCCAGTATCTTCATCCACCTCAGGAATAGCAGTATGACAAACCGCCAGTATTCGGAAAAACATCAAAATGTCATCTGGATTGGGCTCATTTAACCAGTTTTCATCCATTAGACGGTTATCCTCAAAACTAAACCCCTTAACACCGGTGGTCTTCTTCTGATCATTTTCGTCGCTAGCAGTGATTACAGTCTCCAATTCAAAATCTGATGACGTCCTGCTAGCTAGTTTTGCGTAGCGTTTTGTCCTGCCTTTAGTCATTGGAAGGTTTGTAACTTCTTCTCCATGCTCCTCTAGATCCATCGCCATCTGCTTTGCAGCAGCTAGCTCTACTTCACTGGCACGGACACCATAAGAAGTACCCGCAATTGAGCATTTCAGAAAGTCCATCTGGTTACATGTCAAAGTTCCTGTTTTGTCAGAAAGGATCGTATCAACTTGTCCCAGCTCTTCATTTAAATTCGACGTGCGTGCTTGAGCTGGAGTCCCGCTCTCGCTATCATACATTTGCAAGTCTTGATTTATGAAAGTTGCTTGCGAGACTTTTACTACCTCAATGGAAACATACAGTGAGATGGGAATCAAGTACCCATAAAGCAACAGAGCAGTGATCAAATGGATTACCCAAGCGTACAAAGGATTCGTAGGATTTGTTAAAGTCTCAGGCTTATCTGGTCGCAAGTACCACCAATCTGGCATTAGAAGTTTTGTCATCACGGCAAATCCCAGAGAGCTGATGAAGGAGACAAATAAAAGAAGCGCAAAGAGGGTATATATAATGTAGTCCATTCTCTTTTCAATCTTGCTTCTTTTCGAAGGAGATTTTGTTGAGTTTTGCATGACTTTTGTGTCATGACCGGTAAATATCACAACCCCATAGATATAAGCCGTGTTCCTTAGCTTCGAGTCTCTCAAGAGAATCTGGTTAGGATCAAGTGGATAAACATGGCCATCACACTCAAGATTTCCAACAAACGTATACAGGTTTGGATTTGGATCTTCGCATTTTATTGTTCCAGAGAAGTTCTGAAAAGATTCATCCCGCTCCAACACCAAGGTAGCATCCAAACATCTCTTTACTTTCAAGTTAGTCTCGCCGTCTAAGTTCATCGTCTCCACATAACAGATCCCATCATCGTAACTTGATGACAACAAGAGCAAATCAGCCGGGAAAAACTCATCCTTCTCCACTCTAACTATATCACCCACACGGATTCTCTTCCAGGCCCTACGACCAAAATCCCCACTACCTTTGTGAACAAAGGCTTTCCTTGAATTCACTGCAACGTCCTGCATAAACCTGCGCCAGTCCTCCAATGCCTCTTTACCCATACTAAGCCCGACAACGAAAACCAGGGGAGCAATCATGCTCCATTTGTTAAACGGGGAGAGAGGAAACACGGAGAGTATGGCAGCTACGAGGAAGTAGAAATTGGCAACTCGGTGGAATTGCTCGTACAAGCATTTGGGTAAGAAAGTGAGCATGTTATACCTAGTGGTCGATACATAGTTTGAGCGGTACCTAAGTGGTTTAGCCAGGTGCATATGAGGCTGGTTACAATGAACGATTCTCGTGTACCCTGGTCCATTGATGACATGAGGTCCTTGATCTTCAAGCGTTTTAGGCCTAAGGCATCTAAAGGTGTAGAAATGGCTTTTCCGGATCCTTGATCTGATTCTACGACGACCCATTTCTTCAAAAGTTTTCACCTCAAAGCACCGTTAACTGTTGAAGAAACCCTCGATACTGCCAAAATTCAAACAAAATGAGGAAAATGTATATTAGCTTACGATTGATAAACCGCAAAACTATAATCGGAGCCTCCTTCAGATTCTATAAAGTATTCAGATACAGAACGGAGACAAAAATCTGAATTTAGGTTGTTTCATTTGCGCAGTGACATAAATTCGATAGACGATGGCAATCGAATATGTAATCTTAGAAACCAAAGATCCGAAATCAGCAAATCTAATCATACCCAAACAGAAAACTTGCAACACAAGACAGAGGAAATCCCTTGAATATCACGTCATAGACAGAGATCGGAGAAATTTCCATCGCGAGATTACCTGAAATCGGGAGACTCGTTCATGATCAACACGAAGGAAACGCGTGTTTTTGGTAAAGAAAAATCACCGATCGTCGATGTGAGAAGAGGAGGAACGAACAAAACAAAAAAAGCTGCGCGCGAGAGAGAAAGAGAGAGATCGAAAAATTGGAGGGAGAAGGAGAGGGCTCTTCTCGTTTTCTCAGCTTTTTCCCTTTCTCTCTCTCTAAAAGACGGGAGAGAAGAGGTAAATCTCTCTCTCTCTCCTTCACTCTCTCACACTGCAACTCAAATCCAATGCAGCAATTTCCGTTTCCCTTTTCTTTTTCCTCTTTCTCTCTCTCTCTCTCTCTAATTCAGCTTCCTATTTTTTGTTTTTTTATCATCCATTTTCTTAAGTATTTATTAATTTAAACAAAAAAGCAAAATAAACGTTGAATTATTAATTAGGATACCTTAATTTGTCCTTTTTAGTTCTGTCAAAAGTTACCAAGCTAAAGTGGTTTTCTCCTATGCTGCCAAAATCGTTAAAATAACTTAAATATTTCGTCTGGCACATGATTTGTTTATTATCTTACATCTTTTAGATTCACTGCAATCAGCACTAAAAGAAGAAGTAAATTGTATATTCTTAAGATTAGAAATCAACAGATGGCATGCAGTATATAACTCTTTTAACTAAATATAATTAACTAACAATTTTTCTAGTGATCACTCGGTTTTAGCAAGTCGTGGAAGATCACTCAATTCACAAAGCAAGTTTTATTGATAATCTCACACTACAAACGCCGAGGAAAAAGTTCATCATACATTTATATTCGCTCATAAGCAAACCAGTAGATTTTTTTTTCTGACACAATATAAAGAAAAAAAAAGCATTAATAGATAAGTGATTGTTTATACTGCCTTTAAGACTGGCTGATTGATTCCGCAAATTTCAAGCTGTTGCGCAAACATGAACAACAAGTATATCTAGAATTTGCTCAAAAACCATGGATCTTGATATTATCCTTCTTCACAAGACCAGCCTGATTCAAACATTCTTAAGATCAGAACACAATCTTGTTTCCATCTTTTTTGCTATAAACCAACTTCAAACAGGGAAGAAATGAAGCTACGGTAATTACCTGAACAAGGAACGTCGAGACGTTCTTCCTCTGATCACCTTGAAGCTGAATAACCTATAATTTATTGAAGATATTAAGTCATAAAAGCAGCTGATTTCAACTTTCAAATCTACACCACAACCAATCCAAAATGTCTAAAGAAGTTTAGAAATATTAAAAGAGCAAAACACACACACACACACACACACACCTGTCCTAATTCAGAGTCCTGGACAACAGTGCCATTGCAGCAGAATTCTTTCTTAAGGTCTTTAAGGATCTTGCTATAGCTATACTCTTTTTTAAGTCCCTGGACAGTCGTCAGGCTTTTTCTACCATTACGCTGCTGAACACGAATGTGCACGTATTCCTTTGTTCCAGCACCAGAGTCCTCAGCATTTGCATCAGCAAACGGATCTTAATATCACCCCAAAAAAAAAAAAAAAAAAAAACCACAAACAGGTCAGCTTCTTCCATCTATTGGAAGATATAGAATAAGAAGATACTCCATTTAATGAAATAACAAAGGCTGCAACCAACTAACCAGTAAGTAAAATTATCTAATATAAGAACCAAAATACACATCCTAAAGTTCAAAACTTTACCAAAGGCAGTGGGGACTTGAACTTCAAGATCAGACATGAACCTTAGTTGAAACAAGGGAGCAAACGACAAGGATGATGTAGCCTGGACAAGGACAGGAGAAAAAAATTCGGTATCAGAAAAAATGGGTTCAAAAAGTACAAGTGATTTCATTACATAACATGATCGTCGTAATAGCTGCTTGAGATGATCAAACGAGCTGAATCAGGGATTTCGCATCTGATAGATATAAAACTAAATACTAAAGAAACCATTTTCGCCAAAATGAAAGTCTCAATTGCGTCAAAATAAATCAGAGGTTTCTAAATCGAATCTATATAACAAGAAAATCCTAGGATCTAAAATCGATATCATTTTAGAGTCAAACTTCTTCCGGAAAAAAAAAACCACAAAAATCATGCGCGATCATTTTGCGATGAAGCGAATATATATAAAAAAAAAAGAAATTCAAGTGCTTATTCAGATCAGGGAATTCCAATCATATCAAACAAGCTCCAATCGATCAAAGAGAAGGAAAAAAATAATACTTGGTCGAACCATGGAATTGAGGTAATCGGAAAAGAAGAAACCAAGGAAACAATAAATTCAGCAAGGAGAAGAAGAGAAAGAGAGATAAAATTCACCTGATGATGGATGTAGAGATTAAGGGTTTCGATTAATTGATTGTAGGAGAAGGGAAAGAAATGGAAACCCTAAAATTCGGAGAGAAGCAGCTTCTTGTCTGGGAGAATAATAAGAGCAAAAATTACGAGAGGAAGAGCTACAAAATCGATTTCTGTTTCATATAAATTATATTTTTATTCTTTTTTTTATTTCACCTGAAAAAAAAAAAAAAAAATCGGCGAGTCGGCACGGCATCGATTCCCTCCCACTCATCTAGTTGCGTCTTTATCTTAACTAAAATTATTCCTAGGGTCCAAAAAACAAAAAACAAAAATTATTCCTAGGGCCCTAATAAAGGCCCAACATGTCTTAATTTGAAAGCGCAACAAGTCTTCGGCGTAACAAAAGCCCTACTCTATGTGTGGTTGAAGAAGCATGATATCAAGATCCTTTTAGGTATCGTCTCGAGCAGAGCCAAAATCTAGGGTTTACTCTGCCGCGATGAGAAAACGTAAGCAGCAAGTCATTGAGGAAAACCTAATTTTATCTTCAACATCTGATGTAGGATACTTTGATCCGATCCCTATTGATCTAGTCATCAATAACATCTTCTCGAGATTGTCCGGTAAATCTATGGGAAAGTGTCGCTGCGTATCCAAACTCTGGTCGTCGATTCTCCGCCATCCAAATTTCAACCAGTTGTTCCGGTTTAATTCTCTGGATCCACCGACGAGGTTTCTTTTCACTTTCTTTGTTGGAGAAAACTTGTTCTACTTCTCTTCACCTCAACCTCAGAAACTAAATGAGAATCTGTCTCTTGTAGCCACTCGTCATCATGCTACGAATTATTACAACACATATGTCTCTCAAATCTGTCGTCCTGTACATGGATTGGTCTGTCATAAACGCTGGGAGATGATTATACAGTCGCTGTGATTTCTAATCCAGTCACTGGACAGTCTTTAACCTCACCCAAATTGACAAAGATAAATCTGGTAACACTCTATTTTGGGTATGATCCTATCGAGAAAGAGTTCAAGGTATTGTGTATAACTTGTGTGCTTCCTGGAGTATATTATCTTGAGCATCAAGTTCTCACTTTAGAGACTGGAGTCAAGGAGCAATATCTTATGGAGATAGTGGGGAACTTGTGTTGTGCTCAACGTATGCAGAAGAAGATCATTTTTACATTTCTTACTACAATCTCGAGAGGAAAGTTATGGTAAGAGTAAGAGTTGAAGTTCCAGATTTTGAAGTTTCCAACAGTCGTAGAATTTACATGTTTCCAAATTACGTAGAGGCTGTGAAGCTTATGTAAGTGTTTTCTATTTTTTCTATTTTTATCTTTTTAAAGAAGTGTTTTTATTGGATCATATGCTTGTTCAAGACTAGTATTTCAAGATTTCAAAAAGTTGGGACACAAGCCAGTGGATTTTTAACTTGGTTTTACTTAATTCTTCGGACAACATATATGCTTTAATAATCTACAAGCTATATATCTGGGCATACAGTTGAGTTTTCATAGTTACAAATGCCACATTACAAACTGGTAAATGAAAACTCATTTCTACAAGCATGATACCATATTTTTGATCACCGAAAAGCTATTCCAATGCAGCCTTTTCTCCCATAAATAAATGATATTTATAATCATGAATTGAAAATGACAAAACAACCAAAAATAATTAAAATTAAAAGGCGAAAAAGCAGAGGCTTCGGTGAATTATTTACTTTTTTTTTTTTTGATGGTTGGCTTCTTTCTCTGGCAAAGAAAGAGCTATGATCTTACAAAACTTTTCTGAGAGCACCTTCAGCAGTAAACCTCTCCTTTGGAATTGTTAAGAATATTTTTGATTATTTGGAGAAAGTTTAGAATTTTAACTAAAAAAGAAAGAAAAAAAATCTAGCCGATAAACGATAGCCGAAAAAAATCTAGCCGATAAATGAGAAAACGTGAGCAGCACGACACGCAGGAAAACCTAACAATGATCCAATCCAATAAACGATCTTCATGTTATGAAGGAGGATTCTTCGATCTGATCCCTGTTGAACTCGTCATCGATATCTTTTCGAGATTGTCGGTGAAGTCTATGGCAAAAGTGTCGCTGCGTGTCGAAGCTCTGGTCGTCGATAATTCGCCGACCAAATTACAACCAGTTGTTCCCGCCGATTAAGTCTCCGGAAAAACCGAGGTTTCTTCGTTGTTGCCAAAAAGATTTTTTCTTCTCTTTACCTCAGCCTCAGGATCCGGAAGCTAACTCGTGTCTTGTAGCCACTCGTCATCATCATCATAATACGGATTCCACCAAAAATTTCCATAAAAGTATGTCGTCCTGTACACGGATTGGTCTGTAGCCAATTCACAGGAAAGGACTATACAGAGGCTGTGATTTATAATCCCATCACGGGAGAGTCTGTAACATCACCAACACTGAGAAAAGAAGACTTGGAGTGGAAGGCAGAATGTTATTTTGGGTATGATCCAATCGAGAATGAGTTCAAGGTATTGTGTGTAATCTGGTTTCGTTGTGGGAAGACAAGAAGTGGGGTGTTCAGCATCAGGTTCTCACGTTAGAAACTGGAAACCTCTTGTGGAGGAAGATCCAATGTTGCAAGCCTTACTATTTTCTTAGTGAAGACGGTATATGCATCAACGGTGTTTTGTATTATACAGCAATGGTTATAATGGCGACGAAAAACGTACCATCGTTTGCTTTGATGTTAGATCAGAGAAGTTCAGCTTCATCAACATCGATCAAGAGTACTTGGCAAGGAAAAAGATTACTAGTATTAGTGCCAGATCGATTCTGATAAACTACAAGGGCAATAAACTAGGTGTTATTGATTACGACAAAGAAAACTATCTTCTTGAGTTGTCGGTGTTAGAGGATGCCAAGGAACGTAAATGGTCAACTCACATCCATCCACTGCCTCGTAAATGGCGATCCTTTGCTGGAACCTGGCTGTACAAAGGCTCACTCTTTGCTGCAATGACTAGAAGTAGTAGTAAGGGAAGGTACACAAGAGTTCCTTTTTACATGTATTACTACAATCTCGAGAGTAACGTTATGGTAAGAGTTAAAGTTGAAGTTCAAGAACCACAAGCTCTTAAAAGTTTAAGATCTTACGTATTTGCAAACTTTGAAGAGGATGTGAAGCTTATGTAAGTGCTTTATTTAAACAGTCTTTTTAGTTGTTTAATTTTCTTCTTTGAGTAGTAGGAAGACTTGGTTTTTTTTGGAATAAATGTTAAATTATATTCAAGAAAAAAAAAAAACTGTGATACTTGCATAATTTTAAGAGTTCAAAGCTTCAAAATTAAAATTGCTGTCAGTTATGGCTGTAATCCGCTTAGACAACGAACTCGACAATGTTGAAAAGTTATTATGTCTGTATAAATGTTATTGTCGCTTGCTCTGGTTGGTTCTGCAAACAGTACTGCTTCAAGCAAGAGCATCACCACTGTCGATTCACTCGCCTCAAGCACTTTTGGGAGCAGGTGACTAAATAATATCTCAAAATATTCTGTTCAACATACACAAAGACTCATATATATATTGCTCAAACCCGCAAGATAATCTAAGATGAATATGTTCACCATCTCATTGTCAGGTTGCACCAACAAAGACTCTAATTACACCTGTTCAATGTAAATCACTGTGGAAGACAATTCAAGAATGAGACACAATATATCGTTACACAGGCCATTTCTGCGCAGGTATGCTTTCCCATGCTTTCAAACATGTTTTGACATGATTTTTATATTCCCCTTGAGTGGTATTAAAACCCAAGTCTGAGTCTTAACTCACTTCTGCATGCCTGCAAGTTCCTTGTTTTTTTTCTCACTCAGGGATATCTAGTGTATCTAACCTGAGTGGAGTTACACTGAGTTTCAGGAAGCTAACCGAAGAAATAATAATTGGATGCCACCTCCATGGGCAATGGTTGCCTTAGTTGTTCTTGGATTCAATGAATTTATGACTCTTTTAAGGTACTTTCTACGCTTTTCTCTTTAAACGTTTGAGCTTGCTTTTTCATTAAACTTATCCTTCGCATCTTTCTCATGGCAGAAATCCTCTATATATTGGCTTCTTTTTTGTTGTCTACTTGATTGCCAAAGCCATTGACCTCTCTTCCTTTTTTTGGTGTTGGTGAGAGGAATTCAAAAGTACGTCTCATATAGAGGCACTGGTTTTTGTCGCAGGTGCCAAGAGTATAGAAGCGGTCTTGTACGTTTACAGTCAAAAGATTTGTTAAGTGTTGATGCAGACAAACACATGATATCCTTGTCGTATATTGTAATTTGATGAAAGAAAGAGAGAAAAAAAACTTCTTATTCTGTGAAATTGGTTTATTGATTACAATTCTTGGTCTTTAGCAGCAAAAACTGCAGAGTAAGAGTAAATGAATACTCAAAACATCTTGGGAGAAATATGGAACTAAGGCTCAATCTTCACTAGCTCTTCAATAGATTTCCTATACTCCACAATCAAATCCCTGACCAAAAATTTAAGAAGACAAGTAAAGTAAGATCAAATATCAATCTGGTCAAGTAGAATATGATATCTTGTAACAATTTTGCTAACCTTCTTTGTTGAAGCAATTGCTCACTTTCTTCTAAGTTTCGCTTTTGGCCATCAACAGTCTAAACACACAAAAGATCCGTAAGCAAAGCCAAACTTATCAATGACCAAACAGAACCAGACAAACTTTGTTCCTAATCTCATTTGAATGTTAAAAGCTAGTGTTGTTTACCATAGTTTTAGATCCTAGAGATCCAGAAATCGAGTTTAACAGCTGTTGACACTTCTCGAAATGGCTATTCAACTCAGCCACCTGCAATTTTCACCCCAGACAATTCAACATCCAAGAACCCTAAAAATAAAAAAAAACAAACCTTTAAAATGGGATTTTCGTGTATAAAGAGATTAAAGAAAACAAACCAGGGCATCAGAATTCTGATCTCGTGTTCCAGTTTCGATCGCATCGGTCAATTTCTCCACCAGCTGCGAAGAATCCCAGAAATTAGACTCCGAGAAGAAATCGATTGATTTATAATTTTTGGATTCTTACCGGATAGAGATGGAAATGAGAAGCCAACGACTGGTGCTGCTGAGGAGTCTGCACCGATTGCTGCGGAGTGTGCACCATTTGTTGTTGTTGCTGCTGAGGAGTATTCATCATCGATTGCGGCGTATGAACCACCGTCTGCGGCGGCGGAGGAGGAGATTGCAAAGACGGAGGCGGAGGAGAATGTAACAGACGCTGTTGTTGTTGTTGATGGAATTGCTGCTGTTGAATAAATTGTTGTTGTTGTTGAAATTGCTGGAATTGCAATTCTTGTTGTTGTGGTGCCTGGAATTGCTGCTGCTGCGTCTGTTGTTGTTGTTGATGATGAAACTGTTGTTGTTGCTGCTGTTGCTGGAGGAATAGATGTTCTTGATTCGTAGGTGTACCGTAGTTACCCTGCGCCTGCACGTTCTGGATCATCGACCAATTACCTCCTCCCGAGAACTGATCCATTGCTCCTCCTTTTCCGATCTCACTATCGCCGAGAAAGGGAGAATTAAAACGACTTCCGTTTTGTTTGTTGGGAAAAAAAAAACGACGTTTGTATTAAAAGGCCTCGTGTTGATCGCCCCCTTAAACGACATCGTATTGTCAAACCCGTAAAACGGTGACGTATAGTCGTGACCCTGATCTGTTAGAGTCAGCGCTCTGATTCAACTGTCGAAATTCGTAATTCGGTTCGCGTTCTGGTATCCAAATAACCGGCCAACGCAAAACAACGAGGAAAATTATATGGAAAAGAAAGAAATAAAATATAAAGTTTGGGGTCAATACAGTAAATAATGAAAATTCATTGATGCCGGAGAGCGTATGCGTCACTTGTGTATTCCCTGAGAATTTTGTTTGCTACTTTATCTCACTTTCTCTTCTTCGGTTTGTGAATAAACAATCGGAGAAACTCACGAATCGCTTTCTTCTCCGTTCTTTCGCCGACCGGTTTGTGGTTTATTTGAACACTCCCAATCTTGCCCTGAGAGTTCCACGATAACGAGCATTCCCTCTCTCTTCTACTCTGGATTTTCGCAGACTCTTCGCTCTTAAGGTTTCTCGATTGTTTATAATTTAATGCTATTTCGTAGTTGAGTCTTTGATTTCTCTAGGCTTATGGGTATCCTCATTTCTCTGTATGAAAACTTTAAAGGCTCAAACTTTTGGATGTGATCCGATTTGAGATTGTGAAAATCAAGCAAAATCGCGAGAGACAATACTGAAACTGATTTATTGGGTAGATGTTGTATATATCTGTTTTGCTTCAGATGCTCATCTTGTCTTTTCCAACTGAACTGATGTAGAGTACACTACTTAGCCGACGAAGATGAGGCTGTTGAAGGTCGCAACGTGTAATTTGAACCAATGGGCCATGGAATTCGAATGCAACATGAATAACATCAAGGCTTCTATTTCCGAGGCTAAGGCTGCCGGTGCTGTCATCAGGCTTGGACCCGAGCTCGAGGTCACTGGCTATGGCTGCGAGGATCACTTCTTGGAGCTAGACACCGTCACTCACGCGTATGCCTTCTCCTTTTTGGTTTCCATTTGATGTCGAAACACTTCAATAAAATGCAATTAAGTTCTCGGATCGTGTTCAACACATTTGTTCTAATGTTCCTGTCGAAATAATGTGTTCTTTCAGGTGGGAGTGTTTGAAGGAATTGCTGCTTGGTGATTGGACGGATGGAATATTGTGCAGCATAGGAATGCCTGTGATTAAAGGAGCAGAGCGGTATAATTGTCAGGTTCTCTGTATGAACAAAAGAATCATCATGATTCGACCAAAAATGTGGCTCGCAAACGATGGAAACTACAGGGAGCTGAGGTGGTTCACGGCTTGGAAGCAGAGAGGAGAGCTCGAGGAATTTCAGCTCCCTTTTGATATTTCAGAGGCTTTGTCACAGAAATCAGTACCTTTTGGCTATGGTTACATCCAGTTTATCGACACGTGAGTTTGAATATAAAGCTTCCATTTTTTAACTGTGTCAATGATTTTTCTGCGATTCTAAACTGTATCTATTAAATTTCCTTATCAGGGCTGTTGGTGCCGAAGTCTGTGAGGAACTGTTTAGTCCAGTCCCTCCTCATGCTGAGCTTGCATTGAACGGGGTCGAAGTATTTATGAATGCAAGTGGGAGTCATCACCAACTAAGAAAGCTAGATATTCGTTTGAATGCTTTCATGGGGGCTACTCACGCTCGTGGTGGGGTATATATGTATAGTAATCAACAGGGATGCGATGGTGGCCGCTTATATTATGGTATGTTTAAAGAAACTTGAAGGATTCAAATTGTTATTTTTGAGTAAATTTTATCTACTCTTTTTTTTTGTGAGTGACCATCTTGATTGTCCATTTTTAATCCAAGTGTAGATGGATGTGCATGTATTGTTGTAAACGGGGATGTTGTCGCTCAAGGCTCACAGTTCTCTTTGAAGGACGTGGAGGTCATCATATCCCAAGTGGATCTAGATGCGGTAACCCACAGTTAACCTCTGACTTTAGTTTCTCTGTTTTTTTTATGTATGAATGAAAAATTTCTTAAGACCATTTTGCTTTCTTTGTCTGAGAAAGGTTTCTAGTCTTCGTGGATCTATAAGTAGTTTCCAGGAACAAGCAAGCTGCAAGGTTAAAGTATCTTCAGTATCCGTGCCCTATAGGCTGACACAGTCCTTCAACCTAAAAATGTCACTAAGCAGTCCGAAGAAGGTTCTCAATCTTCATCTGCTTCCTATATCTTTTGATCTCAAGTTTACATTTACAAAAGCTTCCCAATTTAATATTTGTTAGTATGTAGATTATGTACCACTCTCCACAAGAAGAAGTAGCCTTTGGTCCTGCTTGCTGGCTATGGGACTATATGAGAAGAAGTGGCGCTTCAGGCTTTTTGCTTCCCCTTTCTGGCGGCGCAGACAGCTCCTCCGTGGCAGCTATTGTTGGGTGCATGTGCCAACTTGTTGTGAAAGGTTTGTTGAATTGTATTTATCTTATTGGAGAACCAGGTGAATGACTTAAAGAGACTCCACTGATGTTTATATTTTATTCTCGTATAGAGATTGCAAATGGAGATGAGCAAGTGAAAGCTGATGCGAACCGAATTGGGAATTACGCTAATGGACAGTTTCCTACTGATAGCAAAGAGTTTGCCAAGCGAATATTTTACACTGTCTTTATGGGGTCTGAAAACAGGTAAATAGTTACAGTAGCAACGAGGATATGAATTTTGGTCACAGTTGTGTGTGACTTTGTAGCATTTGAAATCTCAACTTTGCAGTTCCGAGGCGACAAAAATGCGTGCAAAGCAGCTGGCAGATGAGATCGGTGCGTGGCATCTTGATGTTTGCATAGATGGCGTTGTCTCTGCGGTTCTATCTTTATTTCAAACGGTTACAGGCAAGCGACCTCGGTATAAGGTAAAGTTGAAATCTACACAAAACAGATGAAACAACGAATGTATGATCATCTGATACAAGTTGTTGGTTTTGTGTTTAGGTTGATGGAGGATCAAACGTTGAGAATCTTGGGTTGCAGAACATTCAAGCAAGGATGAGAATGGTGTTAGCATTTATGTTAGCGTCTCTCTTGCCTTGGGTTCATAGCAAGCCAGGCTTTTACCTTGTTCTAGGTAGCTCCAACGTTGATGAAGGACTTCGTGGTTACCTGACAAAGGTGAAGGACTTCGTGATATCTCTTTTTTGCAGCTACATCTCAATTCCCAATAGATTGTTGATATAATTTCATTCTCTTGGTTGAAACAGTATGATTGTAGCTCAGCAGATATTAATCCCATAGGAAGTATAAGTAAACAGGATCTGAGGTTGTTCTTAAGATGGGCTGCAACGAATCTTGGTTATCAATCCTTGGCAGACATAGAAGCTGCTCCACCAACAGCCGAGCTTGAGCCCATTCGTTCCGACTATACTCAGGTAATAAAGAAAGCTTTTGTGAGTCCTAGAGCTAAAGTCAAAGAAGTCGTCTATTCAGACATCGTATGTTTTGAAAACAGCTTGATGAAGTCGACATGGGAATGACATATGAAGAGCTTTCAGTCTATGGAAGAATGAGGAAGATATTCCGGTGTGGACCAGTTTCCATGTTCAAGGTTTGAGTTCTGATCTTCAGAAAAAGTTTACTAAATCATGATACACTTGAAACTGAAACTGTTCTGTAATGATTCTGCAGAATCTATGTTACAAGTGGGGAACAAAGCTAAGCCCAGCAGAAATAGCTGAGAAAGTGAAATACTTCTTCAAGTATTATTCAATCAATCGACACAAGATGACTGTCCTCACACCGTCCTACCACGCTGAGGTAACTGCTACTGATCAGAAAATTTCGTCTGAAACATGTTTTGAGATTATCATGACGAGAGAAAAACAACTCACTGGGGTTTTGTGGTGCAGAGTTACTCTCCAGAGGACAACAGATTCGATCTGAGGCAGTTTCTGTACAACAGCAAGTGGCCGTACCAGTTTAAGAAGATTGACGAGATTGTTGATGGCTTAAATGGCGACTCGGTTGCTTTCCCGGAAGAAGAAGCAAGCTCCGGCAAAGAAATTGGAGTCGTAGCAGCAAATTCCGGTGACCCAAGCGCGGGTCTCTGATGAAACTCATTTCCTTAAACCTCTCTGTTTCAACCCAAAGTGGAAAGTTTGAAACAGTATGGAAACAAATAACATACATTTGTATCACTGAAATGTATAAAGTTGCTGTTGAAGAGAAAACAACAAAACAACAGTAACGACTTCCAATAAGATCACTTTATAGTGTTACATGTGATTGAGTCATTGATTTTGTTAAAAGATTACAACTTTTGTTTGTACAGTTTTAACATTTTCCATTATTGTTAAATAAAAATCTAGTTTTATTATGTGTGAGTAATATGAGCATGTTTCTCAATTATGGTTAGTAATAATATAGATTCAATAACTCAGCTCATTGTTAAGGCATTTGGTTACTTCTTACGTTACTAATTTCATGATTTCATTTTTGAACTCAAACGTTCATGTAATGTGGATCTTACAAGACTGAATTGATTCGACAAAAATACCGGTTTGATATCAGATCTTGTTTTTTAAACATTGATTATTTCCTAAAGTTAATATCAGACCGAATCTATTAATTCATTTTTCTTGAAGATACAATGTTTTTGAGTTCATTTGACCATATACAATGATTTTCTTTTGATATAGAAGATTTTTACCTTTTGAAAGATCTGACCCAACTTATCTAGACAGAAATCTCATATATTAGCACAATAAATAATTTATAATTAAACGTGACTCTGTCTATCTCTCTCGTACTTATAAGCGTGTTCTTGCTCTTTACTTTCTTCACATCTAAACCAAAAAAAAAAAGTGATCACAGAAATTTACAACATATCAACAAAATGGCATTATCAAGGCTTCAATTTGTAGTCATCCTCGTCATTTGTTCTTTCCTAGTGAATTCCCAATCAAAAGGTAATACGTTTTTTTTTTTCTTTAATGATCACATCTAAAATCAAGAACCATATCTTATTTCTCTTTCTAATTTTCTTTTTTCTTAAACTATTGTTTAATCATGGTGATTAATAGATGTAAGAGAGAATGGAGATCATCCTTCACAGTGTGTCTACAAAGGTCCATGTTCCAGCAACACAGACTGTAGGAGTCAGTGTGGACCGCCTGACTTCCCACCGGAGACCATTGGCTTATGCCAAGCCAGTCCTAGAGGTCATGGCAACATTTGTTGTTGTGCTAAAGATTAAACTAAAGAAAACAAATGTAATTTCAATCTACTTCTTATTTTTAACTAATTAATAGTAATCTTTATTCTTAATTAGATATTAAAGAAGTTGTCTACTCTTTTGGATTAAAGAAAGATATATAAAGTGAACCTTGTATGGAGTAAACTCACTACTTTATAAAATGATAAATAAAGAATTTTAAAGTAATTGTTAGAAACCTCATATTAGCTAGAGTTTAGAGAAATGACTCAATTCATCGATTACTAATCAGTTTTGACTTGGACACCTCTATAGTATATATCTTAACTATAATCGATATGTAAAGTTCAGATTTTAGGATTTTGTAAATAAAATTGGATACCTTATGTTAAGTACTAAATGAAATATAAAATTTATTTGAAAAAGCTTAGTTAATTATACTGGTTTCCGTGAATATAAAGATTTTCAATTTCAAGTCAATATACATAATGTGGTGAGGAAGTTTTCGGTCAATGTAATCAATATATAAATATATATACAGCATTTGAATGTGATTATATATTTATGATGGACAAAATTCTCCTACGCGTACCTCATTTGCACGTGCGGAGAACCAAAAAGAAGTGCGTTACTAACACATATGTTGACTTCGCTTTGACCCATTTTTTAATCATAAATACGCAAAGAGCTCTCTAATGTTTTGCATGTGTTGGAGAACATGTAAAATCATAAACACTATCTTATAATTTAACAGACGATCGACCCTGAAACAAAAATTGTAAAACTAATTTTTCTTCTTCTTTTTTATAACGTTGCTTGCACCGTGATGATGATTATCTTTCCGAGAATACTTAACATATATATTTAATTAACGTTATATAAAAATCTCTATACATATGCTAGTACCTAATCTTGATGGCTATGTTGTTGTTGTTGTTGCTCTGAAGCAGAAGTATTGTTGATACAGTTTCCAAGATTATTAGCGAAACTTAGAATCTCATTATGAGACATTAACGATCTTAGCCCCAAGAAATCCCTCGTCTCTCCTCCACCGTCGACGGTGACGTCGTCCTTCTCGTCTCCGGTGATAAAACCACCGTTAAAAGCTTCTCCTCCGCTTTGATGATGATGATGAGGAGGAGGATTCATCATATAGTAGTCTTGAAACCCGAATCCAGGTTCTGATGGTGACGTCATCATCGCAGCGGCCATTGTAGTCGTGATGAGGTTATTATAGGCGCTTGACCTTGAAGACGACCTCTCTTCTTCCTCAGGAGTAGTTGTTGAGTTTTTTGGACCCATTTGAGCTGCTTTCTGGAGCAAAGCTGTGGCTGACATAGCCGGAGATGAGGAGTGGTTGAAGTTGGATCTTATTCCGGTGGTCGCAGAAGAAGAAGCAAGAGGGAAGAAGTTACCATTGTTGACATTAGGGTTAGGGTTTGACGAGGCAAGCCAGGAAGGGATGTTTTGGAAGTGGTGATGATGTGATTCTTCTTGCTTCATTGAAAATTCATGACCATGGAGATTATTGTTGCTGATGATGTTTTGGGAAGAAGAAGAAGAAGAGAAATTGATGTTTTGTTGTGTTTGATGATGATGAGAAGGGGAAGAAGAAGAAGATTGGATGAGAATAGGATTTGGTATGGCTCTTGCACTCTCTTCTGCTAATGCATCACAAAATGCTCTATGAGTTATGAAACTATCCCTCCTGCAACATGAACCAAATCACATTAAAAACCAAACATATATACTTTCAAATTAATTGATAAAATAATGAATTTTTTTTTTAGGTTTGTAGGTCCATCTAAAGCATGTTGTATTATTTGTGGGGTGTGTGTGTCACGTGTGAATAATAAGATGATAGGACCAATATGCAATAAATGCAACCGTATAAAGATTTTCTATATAAGTATGACTCAAGAAAAAAAAAATTTGTGGATACAACAAATTGTGAAAAGAAGAAGTACCACAATAATAAATAGTTGTTTAAATGGAGATTCTTTGAGCTACTTAATTAATTAACGCCTTTGTCCTATTCAAAATTAAATGAAACTACTCAAATCCTAACAGATAGTACCATATACTATATGTGTCACTCATTTTCACATTACACCACACATCTAAAGTTTCATCACCATCACTCTTGTATTTTCCTTTAAAATATGTAACCTTAGACTTAAGTATGAATGCACATATTTCATCAAAATGCATATATTAGAATAAAATTAAATGCGGTTTTACCTAGAAAAGAGAGTTCCACAGTCACATTTGTATTCTTTAGTGCCACAAGTCTTAGCATGAGCCTTCCAATCTGATTGCACCGCATACTTCTTCGAACACTTATCACATTTCCATTTTTTCTCGCCATGTTTTCTAAAGAAATGCTTCTTGATTCCGGTCAAGTCTCCGAGAGCTCGTGATGGGTGGTGATGGACACAGCTTGGCTCTGGACACACATAAACTTTCTTCCTTATCACATCTTTGTTTGATCTTTGTTTAAGCTTCCATGGTAGATTGTGTCCTCTCTTGTGAAGTTGCAAGTTTTGATCTCTTTGGAACCCTTTGTTGCAGACCTCGCATATGAATCTGTTTGTTGCCATTAGTGTTTTTGGTGATAAAGCCATCACTTCTGCTTCAGGGTCTGATTGAAAAGTCAAGAAAAAACACCATTATCAAAGTCCAAAATTTTTATTAGGTTTTACTTGAGATTTGCTTAATATATAGTAACATTAATCTACACTTAGTGGGTTTGCTGTTTTCCATTAGACAATGAGTAAAAAATTAAGAAGGACCAAGAAAAAAAACATTTCACGAAACCCATATCAGAAAATTTTGGGATTTTAAACAAACAACTAATAAAGTTTGGATTTTTTTTTCTTTCGGTTTTTGCCCATTTCAATAATAGAGATGAGAAAGAGGACAAGATTAAAAAGGGTAAAAAGAATATTCCCTTTTCGAAGACCCATAATTTTCAAAAACATTTTCGATGACGGTATAACATCAAAATGATTTAGAATGAAAACGTCCAAAAAATCAAGAAAGTTTGGATCTTTTATAAAAAGAAATAGTTACCCGGATTGCCTGGTTGGTTTCTCTTCTTCTTCTGAGATGATTGTGGAACAAAACACTGTTCTTGCTGCTGATTTGGATTAATGTTGTAATGGAAGTTGGAACCACTAGTTTCAGTTCTATTTCCTGAAGACACACTCGCTTGATCTCCTGAAGCTGATGTTAGATTGGACATGTTTTCTTCCACTTGTTGTTGATGATGAAGCCACATATCTTTGTTCATCATCATCCGTAAATAAAAACCTTAAAAGAAGTAAACAAAACAAAAAGGATGCAATTTTTTGTTCAGATCTATGTGTATAAGAGAAAACAGACAAAGAGTAGTGGGAAAACTAGCAAAGAGAAGATTTAATCAGAAACATCCAAGAAATTAGTGAAACCCATAATTCTATAACTATTTTAATTAGCTTTCCTGAATTTTGGCTTCAACCCAAGAGACAATTCTTTACTTGTGGGAAGAACAAAGAAGATAATAAGATCCAAAACCCAAGAGAGATGTGAAGAGAGAGAGAGAGAGTTTGTTTGAAACCTGAACATAAAAAACCAGACTTTTTGTTCTTGTTCGTTTCAAACATGAAACAAGAAGCTTTAAGGCTTGCTTTTTACTAACAAAACTCCAAAAAGGAAAACATAAAAAATCCAACAAGAACTACACACAAGATGAAGAATAAGATAGAAAAAAAACAATTATTTACATAGTAAGAAGGAAGAAAATCCAAAATACCTAGAAGAAGAAGGAGAGAGAGAGGGAGAGTGATTGTGGAGGAGAGAAGCTCTATTATCTTTCTCTCTCTGTGTGATATTTGAAGCTTATAAATTCCAAACTTCAAAGAAAATAAAAATATTAATCGGAACCCTACAGCTCATGAAAAAAATAAAACAAAGAAAAAATAAAACTCTTCTGCTGGTTCTGGCGTTTGCCATTTTCTGTCTTTTTCTCTGTTTATTTGAATTTTTTTTATTTACACGCAGAGCAGTCTGTCCTTGCTAATTATTATTAGCTGTAATGTAAATTTGGTTTTTCATTAAATCTTTTTGGTTTATTGTTTCATAAAGAAAGGTGGGCCAAATATTAATATACTTTCTCACAGTTGTGTGAAAAGCTTGCAGAAAGAGGAGATTGTAAGTTTATAATTTTGTACGTTTCTCGAGATAGTGAGAAGACAATGTTTTTTTTTTTTTTTTTTCAACAGTGAGAAGACAATGTTTGAATTCGCTTTAGTGCATGCACTATTTTCCCTAGGAGTAATTGATTTTCATTATTTTATTCACTATTCAGTCTTTCATAATTGTACTGTATTTATGGATCAGAATCTGTAATTTATTGGTTTCTACTTTTGTGACAACATTGTCAAATCTGAATTTAATCTTAGAGAGAGTATGTTTTGATTTTGATGTGTGTGTTGTCGAATGTGCATAATAAAATTTGCAATTTGCAACCCATACTTCAAATTTATAATCTACTTAAGACATTTTTTTCCATGAATTTCCGTGCTATCATTTTGACTGATCTTCAAACAAACCGTTACTTTGAAACATATACATTAATGTCTTTCATTTCGTCAATTATAATATACAAAAAATATTAGTTTTATACTTTTATGTACTTATTGACATCGTAATTTTCAGTAATATACATGATTGATTAATTGATTAAAGGGGAAAAGGTTCACTTTAACCCCCACAAAAAAAGTTCGTTTTTTGGGTTTATTTGAGGCTTTTCATCTTAAAAGAAAAATGAAATTAAATGGATTAATTATGTTTCAGTGCACGAAAAAATATTACTCAGTGACACATGCCCTAACCTACTTTATGATCTACATCGAGCTATGGACACAAATCATTGACATTTTTTCTTTGCATTTTGAAAAGAATAATTCATTTGTAGAGGTAGACCATGGTCGGTCCAATGTCGTAGACTAGACACCATTACACTCCTTATCTTATCTACATTTAAAATCTAAACAAATATTTATAATCATTAATACTGTTCTGGTGTCATTATATGAACTTTTTGTCAACTATTTTACGTGTTTAATCCATCATTTATACATGGATTGATAATGTCATACGTGAGCTAGGCTACATATTAAAAAATGAAAGGAACATCAAATACCTAATTTGGAAATTTGCAATTGTATAGTATAGACATACGCATACGTAGAAACGATCTGATTTTTTTTTTATTGGACCATACTAATTAAAATACACTTGCTTTATATCATACTAACCCACATGCTTCAATATTTCTTTTTAAAAAAAAAAAAAGAAATGCTTCAATATTTCTTCGACTGACAATATCTCTTCTTCATTATTGCTACATACTTCTATATTATATTTGGCTAACAAATTCTTACGATTATTGGTTTTATATATCTTAAACCAGAAACAAGATTAATGAATTATTTAAATCACTTACTGCCCACTTTCAAGATAAAGCAGAAAATATGGAGAAATATAAGCCTTTTCTTCAAAGGAATATAAGAATTTCATAAATGTCCACAAACATCAGAGCGTCATTCTATTTCGTGACCCTTATGCATCCATTATGTGAACTTTTGATAATAAAAGTCTCATGCTATTTAGCGTACGTAATAACACGAACGACGATAAGAGCAAAAATAGGAAATACTATTTCTGATTAATTCACAAAATGTTGTTTTGATATATTTGACACAAATTAAAAAAAATTCATATGTAAAAATAAGTTTTACTTAATATAATGTTAATTAGATGAAGATGACTTAAATTAAAAAATAAAAATAAATAATGAGCTCTGCAAAAAAAGTCATACATGAAATTTGTCTAACAATTACATTTGCAAGGTGAAATTATATCTTTGTGACACAAACAATGTTTACAAAACGATAATTTTTGTCAAATAAAATCAAGAATAAATTTTGTGACAAAAAATAATATCTCATAATTTAAAATTCAATCTATTTTAACAAGCCAACTAAAAAAAACAAATATTTTTTAAAGAAAATATTACATAGAAACACACATCCATTTTACTTGGTTTAACGATATTTTTGTATTATATTATAATAATGTGCAGACACTAAAAATAATATCAGAAAATATTTTTTTTATCAGAATATAATATCGTCTTCAAATTTCTTTTTAAAGATCGTGTTCCTGATACCGAAACCGAAGTTTCTATGTATCCATTCAACATATTTGAACCCAATGTTGAAATATTTGAAACCAATATCGAGATGTCCAAACATTTACAAAATATGGTACTATTAGAAATAATATCAAGATGTCCAAACATTTATGAAACGTCTTTTTTTATTTTTAACATTATGAAACGTACTGGTTTTTAGACGAGACGTCCTCGTTTGTGGTTCAGAACTACTTAAAAGTTAAAACTAACAACTGAGTATTTAAACTTGTTAGGGAATTATTTTCACGTAATGGATCGAAAAAATATATTCTTCAAGCAACATATTACTGTTGGATGACAAAATAAAAATTTAGTTCATGAATATCGATCATGATTATTTACTATCCGAAAACTATAGGCCAATATAAGATTAAATGTCCATGTCTTCACGTCAACAACGCGTGCTTTTAACCCTTGTTACCCTTACCCACAAAAAAAAAAAAAAACAACGCGTGTCTCCAGTCTCCAGATTTTACAACGATGAGTCTATGACAGTTATAATAAATATCTCGACTTATGAAGAAAGCTAACAATAATCAAAACTTAAGTTTATAGAATCACGAATGTCATCATTGTTATAGGAGGTTTCTGCTATCGAAAGATCTCTAGAAAATAAATAGATTTGTAAGTTTGGTTTGGGTATTGTCCAATATGAGGCTCAAGTTTTTGTCCGTACTGTATCAGTTTCGGGTTTTGAATCTTTTGATCCCTTACAGTATTTAGATTTTCTAAATTATAATTCTAATTTCCTATGCATTTTCTAAAAGGATTTATCTCCAAAAAATCTTGTTTTTCGACAACATTGTTTTCAAATCTATTATTTATTTCCATTCTATCGTCTAAAGTTTAAATAAAATTTTCAGACGAAATTAAAAAAAACCTAAAAACTCCATTGTTATTATATAATTTATATTGTGTGAGATATAAAAATACGTAAATAACTGAAGTAAGAATACACGAGCTGAGTGGACAAGAAAGACACAGACTCTGATTGGTAACCTGCGGAATGACGGAATTACGTTTTTAAACACAATTCCGCAGGTTTTTTGCCAATCAACAAAAATCCGCGTAATGAAAAAATACACACAAAAATGCAGACTGCGTTTTTGCTTAAAAAAATACTAAAGAAAAGTCATTCCGCAGAAAAACGACTTATAAGTCACTTAATTTATTCTGCAATATTTTTTGGCAATTTCGCCATTCCGCAAAGTTACCAATCGAAGCCACAGTCGTGAGTCGACTCCTCACAGTCACAGACTACTCACAGACTAGGGAAATAAAATTAAAAATCCCCTATAATTGTATTGGTTTAACTTGTCAAACTAAAAACTTTATAAAACTTTTTTTGTTCGAAAGATTGATTAATACACTATATAACTTCAAAAACCATTACAAATTATCAGATTTTCATAACACCTAGTCTTTCGCCGACGTCATTTTCGGCCTAGAATCATAGTAGACATATAGATATAGTAGTCACTAGTCACAATAATTGAATTTGAATTGTTTTTTCCTTTTTGTTAATGATAAGTTTGAATTTTTGATTAAGACAAATGGAAAAATAAGGTGCACATGATTTAAAGTTGTACTTTTTAAATTGTAAAGTCTATATTTCAAAAAAAAAGGTCTATATTTCATATAGTAAATAGTTTAAAAATAAATACATTCAAACTCTGATACAGTGATATATATATATATAATAATAATGTGAATGCAAAATTCTTTACTCGTTATGGTATGACATTATTTACTGCAACTATGGAGAGGAATCTCATCTTACAGACATTAATAAGTGAAAGTGACAGGTCGTCCAAACCGTAGAAGACCAAAAGGACACGTGACAGACTGTGATTGGATAGGACCCCTTAAGCCAAAGAGTCATGATTGGCTTTGACTCTTCTCTTCTGCGAAACTAATCCACACCACGCGGTCAGATGACCTTTCAGACACCCGTTCCCAATGTTTCCGTTTCTGGTCTCCCTGAAACGTCGCCGTTCTGGGTCCCATTACAATAACCGGTTTTTGCAACCCGATAATTAATTAATTGCAAACAATTTACAGAATCGAACCAAACCAAGAAAACCGGTGTGCATATCCTATATTGAAAAATTAATGTTATCCAAAGTAATGTAACAAAATACATGACGAGAATATCCCGTAGCGGATGGGGTTTGGATAATTCAGATACGTAAAATTCGGGATAGGGTGATTAGAGTTTGATCATTTGATGTCTCTTTACTTATTTTGAGAGAAGAAAAAGAAGCTCATTATAATGGCAAGGCATATAACATCAATAACTGCTCTAAATACTTATGGGCTTCAATTTTTCTCCTCAAACCCATAGGCCCAGATTAAGAAGGCTTTACTTTACTGTCTACCAAAAAAGGCATCGTTTGTAGACAAATGCTGGCTGACTTAAGGTTATTTAATTGTTTGGTCTTTGATTAATGGATTTGTATTTGCAGTTACGTGCACACTTGTGCATTATTTGTCTCTCGAACCATGTGAAAAGCGAACAATATAAGAGCTTATTTGTTGTTCATAGTTAAATAACCAATTTCTTCAGTCTTTTTTTAATACTTAGATTAGCCGTTAACACCTTGTACTTAAACAGCTACCCCAAAACCAACCACAAGGAAAAGGAGAGAGAGAGAGATAAAGAAACAGAGCAACAATGGCGAAATTAAATCGTTCCATTGTTGGTCTGTCACTGTTACTATCGTTGTTGCTCTGCGACTTTATAATCGATCTTGAAGCTTCACAACAAGATCTCAACCAACCGTACCGGACCGGTTATCACTTTCAACCTCCAAGAAATTGGATGAACGGTATGTACCATACCGATCTTGATTTGATTTCTGTCCATCGATGTGTGTGTGTTCGATCTTCTAATTAACATCGTTTTATTCTTTGTTGATTCCGTTATGTGAAATGAAAATCTGCTTCGACGAATATTTCCAGATCCTAATGGTTAGTCCTCTTTAATAAATTATTATCCATATTTTTGTTCATATATTATAATCTATTATATCCACACATACGCATTTGCTTTTTTTCGGTAGGACCAATGATATACAAAGGAATATACCACTTATTCTACCAATATAACCCATACGGCGCCGTTTGGGATGTAAGAATCGTATGGGGTCACTCCACGTCAGCTGACTTAGTGAACTGGACCCCACAACCTCCAGCTTTCAATCCATCTCAGCCGTCAGATGTCAACGGTTGTTGGTCAGGCTCCGTCACGATTCTACCAGATGGCAAACCGGTGATCCTCTACACCGGCATTGACCAAAACAAAAGTCAAGTCCAAAACATCGCCGTTCCGGTTAACGTCTCCGATCCGTATCTCCGAGAATGGTCAAAACCGACGTTAAATCCTCTCTTGGCTCCTAACGCCGTCAACGGAATTGACCCTGATAGGTTCCGAGATCCGACCACCGCGTGGCTAGGACGCGACGGAGAATGGCGAGTCATCGTCGGAAGCTCGACGGACGATCGTCGAGGATTAGCGATTCTTTACAAAAGCAGAGATTTTTTCAATTGGACTCAGTCGACGAAGCCTCTTCACTACGAAGACTTAACCGGAATGTGGGAATGTCCGGATTTTTTCCCGGTTGCGATAACCGGATCAGAAGGTGTGGAAACGTCGTCGTTTGGTGATGTAAAGCACGTGCTTAAAGTGAGTTTGATTGAGACATTACATGATTATTACACGATCGGGACTTACGATCGTGAGAAAGATGTTTATGTACCGGATCTTGGATTTGTGCAAAATGAATCGGCTCCGAGATTAGATTACGGGAAATATTACGCGTCGAAAACGTTTTTCGATGATGTGAAGAAACGAAGAGTCTTGTGGGGCTGGGTTAATGAATCTTCACCAGCTAAAGATGATATTGAGAAGGGTTGGTCTGGTCTTCAGGTACATTTTAAATTTGCCCTAGATTAGTTCGTCACGGTCCGATCGAGAGAAATCGAATTTGACCTGTTTTTTTTTTTTTCATGATTTGATAGTCATTTCCAAGAAAAATATGGCTCGGTGAATCGGGAAAGGAACTGCTTCAATGGCCAATTGAAGAGATTGAGACCTTGCGTGGGTCACAAGTCAGCTGGCACAACAAAGTTCTTAAGGCAGGATCTACTCTCCAAGTTCATGGTGTCACTGCAGCACAAGTAGGAATCGATCCCTTGACCAGATTTATGATTAATCCGCATTTTATGGGAATCAATTTTTTATAAAGTACCTAGTTTTTCTTTTAACAAAAAAATGGTTTTTTTTCTTTATTTGATTTGGTATTGAGCAGGCAGATGTTGAGGTATCATTCAAGGTGAGGAACTTGGAAAAAGCGGATGTGATGAAACCGAGTTGGACCGACCCGCAAAAGATATGTAGCCAGGAAGATTCGTCGGTCAAATCTGGTTTAGGGCCATTTGGTTTAATTGTTTTGGCATCTAATGACATGGAAGAGCACACGTCGGTTTACTTCAAAATCTTCAAGTCAAATGATACTAATAAGAATACTAAGTACGTAGTGTTGATGTGCACTGACCAAAGCAGGTATATATACTTCTATACATCGTTCAAAAGACACATTTAGATTATTTTCGTATATACATATAATGCTTACGAAATTAACCTTTTTAATGGCACTCACAGGTCTTCGTTGAATGACGAAAATGATAAAACAACATTTGGTGCTTTTCTGGCAATAGACCCTTCTAACCAAGCAATTTCTCTTAGGACTTTGGTAAGTTTTAAGTATGTCAAAATATATTTTCTCAGATATGTGTCTTGTATCAACTATCAAGCGAGTATACTTCAATTAAAGTTAGAGATGTTGCATCGCAATAAATTAATTTGGTCCGGCTCTGATAGGCAGACATTTCTAAATTCATGCACTACGGAACTGATGTGTATTTTTTTCTTCTTTTATTTTTGTGTAGATTGATCACTCTATAGTGGAGAATTACGGTGGAGGAGGCAAAGTATGTATAACCTCAAGAGTGTATCCAAAATTGGCAATTGGAGAAAACACAAATCTCTTTGCCTTCAATAGAGGAACTCAAAGTGTTGATGTTTTAAGCCTAAGTGCTTGGAGCTTAAAGTCTGCCCAAATCAACGACGAGTCAATGTCACCATTTATCGAATATGAAGATTCTCACTCACTTAACCAATTTTGATTCTCGAGTGGAACATTTTATATTTTAATTTACGGGAGAAATAAAATTCTTGAAACTTTTTCTGCTCCATTCTAGCCACAAGACTCGGATAATTTCATTTTATTTTGTTTGTTATCCTGTTTTTAGAGATTATATCATCTTTCATTGAAGTTGATACTATTCTATTTTGTTTATTTTATTGACATTTGCACCATAAATTCTTCTTACAACGAATGAAACAAACAGAAAAAATAGCATGTTATATTTATAGATTTTGGGAGGAAATTTTAGCTAATAGTAGGATAGGAATATTTTTCAAAATTTGTTTTTTTAGTACTTCATCTATAATAATGAAAGTGTTATAACACATATCATATATGGACTCTTATACCGGCCCATTAGGCCCATCAGGGCATTGTACTTAACCTAGATTCCCTATGTACTCTATATATACATTCCAGTGATTAATAAAGTTTCTAAGTTTTCACAACACGTTATCAGCACGATAAGACTCTCTGAGCGAAAAACCCTAATAAATCCGGCCACCACCAAAACCCTAAAAGCAAGTCGAAACTTAAAAGACGCATATCTTCCACACCGTGAGGAACCAGAAGACGATCTACATATCAAATCGAAGCCCTCGACGAAACGAATCTACTGGTGAAAACCGTTTGTCGATCCAACGTCGGACGCGCCCTCACGCACACTTACAGTACACGACGATCAACCGAAAAAAAAAAAACCAGATCCGAGTTTTTCCTTCTTCAACCAGCAGCTTCTCCAGTTTTGGTGATCAATCCTTGGAATTTGTAGCGGCTAACTGAGGTCTATTAGCTCCCAGTTTCATTAGCCTGTCAGAAATCCAAAGGTGGAAAAGGTATCTTCTAAAACTGAGAGCCATAGAACCTGTTGTTTAAACACTTCAAAACCCTATCGATCTCTAATTGATTGAAAGTGTTTGATACACTGATGATTGATTGATAACTTGTTGATTGATTGTTTAAATTACAAGTTTATGCATGTTCAAAGGTTTTAAACTCGTTTTATAAAACCCTAATCTACAAAAACCTAACAACCGTTTTTGGCCATGTTTATGGCATAAACCTATTCGATTTTCTTCATGTTTAATAAGCTTGTTGCAGCTTATTTGATTGTTGATTCTCTTGCTTGAAACACTTGATTGAATAAACTAAGAAAATCAACCCTAAATCCTAAGCTTGATTCACGATTTTGTAATCTTCAAAATCGTAAGTCATAATGCTTAAACCCTAGTCCTTTTCACGTGATTTCTTTGTTGTCCTTGTGAAATTATTAAAACCATCGACCACAGATCCTATAGATCTCGAAATCACATCCAAAATATGTTTTCCAAACCGTTAAAACCCTAGATAAAATCCTAATCATATTCGGCTCCCCTAGGGTTCCTCCTAAACCGCCTAAAACCGGCTAAACCTGGTCCTCATTAACCGAAATTATATTCGGCTTTAACCGATTAAATCACAGCTATTAAACCGACATCATGTTCGGGGTAACTAAAACCATACCCTTTAAAATTTACTATTTCCGAGAAAGTTCCCTCTAATAGAAAGTTTCCTCATATAAAAACTTTCCTCATATAGAAATTTTCCCGACATAGAAACTTTCCTCATTTAGAAAATTACCCAAATTAGAAACTTTCCAAATTTAGAAACTTTCCTAAAATAGAAATATTCTCAAAATAGAAAGTTTCATCATCAGCATTCAAAATTTTCTCAAAACAATCCCTAACAAAATCAATCTCATGTTTCAGATGTCAAACATTCAGAAATGTGAATTCGAGGCCCTTCACGTCTCCGGGGATAACTACCTCGAGTGGGCCCTAGACATGCGCTTGTTCCTTGCATCGAAAGAACTCGATGCGTGTATTACCGACGGTAACACCGCATCCCGTAAGGGACAGTCTCAGGCGATATGTCACATACGCCATCATCTGGCCTCGAGCCTTAAGCAGCAATATCTCACTCTTGAGAATCCACTTGAATTGTGGCAAGCGCTGAAAAAGCGATATGACCATCAGAAAATGGTCCAGTTGCCTCAGGCAGATTTCGACTGGAAGAACCTTCGGTTCCAGGACTACAAATCCGTAGATGATTACAACAACGAACTCTTTCGTATTGTTGTAATTGTGAAAAGGTTGGAAGATCTGGCCAAAGAAGGTGATAGCCCTGTAGATTCGTTCCTATGGTTCGATCCTTCCCAGTAAAACGCGGCGTGTCCGGAAACTCTGTGGCGAGGATGTGACAGATAATGATCTCCTCGAGAAAACATTATCCACATTCAGCACAGAGAATGTTGTGCTCCAACAACAATACCGTGCAATGAAACACACATTGTACGAAGACTTGTTGTCCTGTCTTCTCCTCGCTGAGAAGAATAACCAGCTGCTTATGAGGAACAGCGCTATGAGGCCCCCGGGATCGGCTCCTGTCCCAGCTTCTCGTCAAGAGTCCTACCATGTTCAACCCGATAGATCCTCAGATCACCGCCGTGGACGTGGTAATGGACGTGGTAATGGCCGAGGACATGGACGTGGAAGACGTGGACGCGGACATGGTCGCGGCAACCGACCTAACCTCAGTTATGGTCCTGGTCGTGGTCGAGGCATCACCAAGCCGACCCGCCACACCAACCCCGATCACTCTGCTTGTACCAGATGTGGGATGTTCAACCACCCAACAAAGCAATGTCGCACCCCCAAGATCCACTGCGATCTATACCAGAAGTACGGAAAAGCTCCTGCTGAAGCCAACATGACTCAGCCAGTCGATGCTGCTAACCTGGAAGGTGACGACCTCCTTGATGATGAGAACACCACAAACGAGCAGACCGACCCCATGGACTATGAAACAGCTGATCTCCTCGATTAATTCAATCATCTGAAACTCTGATACAATTTGATTTTGTTCTTTATTTTTTTTTCATTTTGGGATTTGTTTCATTTTTTTTTTCCATTTGCCTTTATTCTCAGACACTGCTTTACTTTATGATTTATCACATTTTCTGAATTCCTCAATACTGAATTCTATCTTCTATTCATAATGAAGCACACCAGCAAATGGAAACCATAGTCGTAGATAGTGGATCCAGCCACACTATCTTAAGAAACAAAAGTTACTTCATAAACCTAACCTATCAAACCGCAAATATTAGCACCATCGCGGGTCTCTCAAACCTTATCGAAGGATATGGCCATGCCTATGTGTTGCTATCAAATGGCACACAACTTGAAATACCAGATACTCTATATTCTCCTAGTTCGAAGAGAAATCTTCTGAGCTTCAAGGATATAAGACAGAATGGTTTCCACATAGAAACCCAAGGTCAAGGGAACAAAGAATCCCTCCTAGTCACTAAAACCGTAGACGGCCATAAACAAATCCTCGAAACCATACCCGCGCTCTCTACTGGACTTTACCATGCTAAAGTCAGTATGATTGAAGCTAATACCACTCTCAAAGCTCGGTTTACTGATTATACTATTTGGCACGACCGGCTCAGTCATCCCGGTGCAAATATGATGCGTAAACTAATTCAAAACTCTCAAGGGCATACCCTCAAAGAAAACCGAGCTTATCCTCAACACCTCATGTGCACAGCTTGTTCTCAAGGCAAATTGATCACTCGGCCTTCACCAGTTAAAATCTCTAAACAAACACTTCATTTCCTAGAAAGAATCCATGGCGATATCTGTGGACCTATACATCCATCTTCCGGACCATTCCGGTACTTCATGGTCCTTATAGACGCATCGACCCGTTGGTCATATGTTTGTCTCTTGTCCTCTCGGAACCAAGCCTTCGCTAGGTTCTTGGCCCAAATCATAAAATTGCGGGCCCATTTCCCTGACTTCCCACTAAAGACTATCCGCCTTGACAATGCTGGTGAATTTACCTCACAAGCGTTTAATGACTACTGTATGGCCATGGGGGTAACCGTGGAACATCCTGTAGCACATGTCCATACTCAAAATGGATTGGCTGAATCATTCATTAAACGCATTCAATGGATAGCCCGACCATTACTCATGAGATCAAAGCTCTCGGCCTCAGCATGGGGACATGCAGTATTACATGCTGTTGAACTCATACGCATCCGGCCATCTAGTGAACACAAATATTCCCCATCCCAACTACTTTCGGGTCATGAGCCAGACATCTCCCATCTCAAAACATTTGGGTGTTCAGTATATGTACCCTTTGCTCCACCACATCGAACCAAAATGGGACCTCAAAGAAGGATGAGAATATATGTTGGTTTTGACTCTCCCACCATCATAAGATATCTCGAGCCAACCACTGGAGATCTCTTCAAGGCCAGATATGCGGATTGCCAATTCGATGAATCGGTATATCCCTCTTTAGGTGGTGAGACAAACAAGCTGGTCAAAGATCTTTCATGGAATCAAACATCATTAAATTGGCAAGATCCTCGGACTCTAGAATGTGATTCAGAGATCCAAAAGATTATTCATTATCAAAAGCTAGCTAATCAATTGCCAGATTCCTTTGCTGACCCGACCAAAGTAACCAAATCGTACATCCCAGCTTGTAATGCACCAGTACGAATAGCTGTCCCAACAGGACAGACCCAAGTTGCTACAGAGTCTGCACCACGTCTCAAACGGGGCAGACCTCTCGGTTCCAAAGATAAGAATCCCCGGAAATCAAAGAAAGGTGCAATAACCGAAACCGGGATTCCTGCAATATCAGACATAGCCGCGGCTGAGACTCAATCTAATGAACCCTCAATGGAAGTTCGGGACGCCGAATCTCCAGGTTCAGAAGATAACAATGAGATCTCCATCAATTACAATATGTCCGGAACACAATGGAATCGAAAAGAAGTCGACTTAAATGCACTCTTTGCATACAAAGTAGCACTTGATGTTGCGCTCACGCAAGAGGATCTAGAACCCACGTCAATAACACAGTGTACACATCGAACAGATTGGCTAAAATGGAAAGAAGCCATAAACGTGGAGTTAAAGAGTCTCAAACTCAGAAACGTGTTCGGTCCGATCATCCGGACCCCATCACACATCAAGCCAGTGGGCCACAAATGGGTCTTTGTGCGCAAAAGGAACGAACTCGGTGAAGTCGTTCGATACAAAGCACGGC